ACAGGAATCAGAGTATTAGCTCTGTTTATTTACAGGTAGCAGTCTGCATCCCCCTATAAAGAGAGACAAGGGTGGCATTGACATAGGTTACAATCTCACACAGCAAGGCTATTTTGGATGTTTGAAGAACTGTCAACATTTTAAAAATTCCCTTTCTAAAGCACCATTTATCAGACTTACCTGGAATAGGAGCAGCAGGTTCTAATTCCAACTCAGCTCTAACCAGTGACTCTGGGCAAGGGGTTTCACCTCTTTGGGTGACATTTTTGTCATCTGAAAATGAAGGATTAGACAAATAATCTCTAAAAATCTCTCGGCGATAACCAGTTCTGTGACACGTCTATACACATAGGTTTGAAATCCTGAGAATGAGGTCTTCAAGACGCCCAGGGAAAAGCCCTCAGGACAGAGCCCATGCCCCTGCCCTGCCCTGCAGTGCACAGCCCATCACTCCCCTGGCATTCAGCCCCGGGACCCTCAGAGGCCGTGGCAGAAGCCACAACAGGATGGCATTAAAGAAGCCAAATTGATATTTTTTTAAAGATTTTATTTATTTGAGAGAGACACAGGGAGAGAGGGAACACAAGCAGGGGGAGTGGGAGAGGGAGAAGCAGGCTTCCGGCCAAGCGGGGAGCCCAATGCGGGACTTGATCCCAGGACTCTGGGATCATGACCTGAGCCGAAGGCAGCCACTCAACGACTGAGCCACCCAGGCGCCTGAATTGATATTTTTCTTTCAAGGATTTTATTTATTCATTTGACAGAGAGAGCGAAAGAGCACAAGCAGGGGGAGCAACAGAGGGAGAGGAAGAAGCAGGCCCCTTTCCGAGCGGGACTCGATCCCAGGACCCTGGGATCATGACCTGAGCCGAAGGCAGATGCTTAAACATCTGAGCCACCCAGGCGCCCGCCAAATTGATTATTTGTCATAGAAGAGTTCTTGGGCTTCAGGCCAATTAATTCCAGACCCCACCAACTCCAACTTTGTAGTAATTCAAATGGAAACGGGGCTGAATTTTTCCTGCTACAATGTGGGAAGAAGGATCCTCTGCACAGTTAATATTGTCTTCAGTGAAAGCATTCTGCCGGAAGTCTTCTACACAAATTACTTTCAGGCATCTCATAAGCACGATGTACAAACATAGTTCTAGCCCCGTGCTGTCCAACAGAACTTGTAGTGATGGTGGAAGTGTTCTGTATCTGTGCTGTCCAATATGATGGCCTGTAGTCATTTGTGTCTATTTAAATTTTTAAAAATTAAAAATTCTGTTGTTCAGTGTGACTGATGCATCATCTAATGGTCATGTGTAGCCAGTGGCCAGTGTATTAGACAGTCCAGGGACAATGCCTTTTGGTTTTCAAGTTACTGAATGTCACTGAAAGTAATACTAGGTGAGGATCTCAAAGTATTTATAATAATACAAGCTTTTCACTCAGTTAATCTAAACCAATAGCCTCTTTGGAAACATGTTTATGGTTATATTTTAGAACAACTCCTACAAATGTTACTTTTCTTTACTCATTTAAAACCTTTTTTTGGCATAGATAATACGAAGGTTTTATGCATGTTTCAAATCTTTTAAATTACAAGAGAGTACAAGATGAAAAGTCAAGCTTCCCTCCCCCTCCGTCTCCCCACTGCTCCCATCCTCCCCCTCGGGAAGCATACTTCCCGAGATGGATTGTGCACGTGTGAGCAAACACACTGCTGCTCCGTGTGTGTACTTGTTACATGCAACACTCTGCATCTTGCATTTAAACATGCATCTTGGCATTCTTTCCATGTTGGTATATAAAGTGCTGCCTCTTTCATTCTAATGACAGCAGTGTTGTACAGATGGATATCTGATCATTTATTTAACCAGTCTCTCCTGATAGACATTTAGTTGTTTCCAATCTTTTGCTACTTAATCTATGATGAAGATCCTTGAACACACATCCTTTTACACATGCGAGTAAAATGTAGGATAAACAGATGTGGAATTGGCCAGTGAAAGGCCATACTCTTTTACAATTTTAAATGCTAGGACAAAATTTCCCACCACAGAGGTCATACCAGCCTACGCTACAAAGGTGCATGAATGTGACTGTATGTCCCCCTACGCCACCGTCCGCACCACGAATGGCCTTCCACTTCTCTTCCCAGAGACAACCAAAATTACCAATTTTGGCTATAAGAAATAATAAAGGAATCCCAACTCCACTTTTTTCCATATAGCTACAAAATTGTCTGCATACCATTTACTGAGTAATCTATGAAAATATAACTTTTAAGCAATATAAACTTTTAACATTTTGAATAGTATTCAAATGTCAAAATTCCAGGTTAAAAAGCTAAGGCTACTTTTTCCATACAAACGAATCCCAAAGCCCGGGATCTGGATAACAGTTTTTATGTCAACATGCCAGTATCGTCATGGCATGTCACAGCAAAAGGACTCGGAGAAAGCCAACTTTGTTAAATTCTATTTTTCTCTCTCAATAGGAAAAAAGAGTGCAGAGCAAGGCCTGGATATGTCAAGGTTACCAGTGTTCTCACGCCAGGAAAAAAGCTACATTAAAGGCACATCTGATTTCTTGGGATTAGGCCATTTTACTACTCGGTACATCACAGAAAGGAACTACCCCTCCCGCCATGGGCCCAGCTACCAGAACGATCGTGACTTAGTAGAACTGGTTGACCCAAATTGGCCTGATCTCGGGTCTAAGTGGCTCTATTCTGTGCCATGGGGCTTTAGGAGGCTCCTCCACTTTGCTCAGGTGATTATCACATTAAGCTATTTAATAAACATTTTTTTTCTTTCAAGATTTTATTTGAGAAAGAATGAGAGAGCATGCAAGCACGCACTGGGGGAGGGGAAGGAGAGGGACAAGCAGACTCCCTGCTGAGCCCACAGGGGGCTCAATCTCACGACCCAAAGACCATGACCCCAGCTGAAATCAAGAGGCGGACGCCCAACTGACTGAGCCATCCAGGTGCCCCCGGTGAACATTTCTGACCTCCATTCATGATCTTACAGCTTAGGCTCGGGTGCCTACATTTTTTTTAATGTTTTTATTTTAATTCCAGTTAGGTGCATCCCTTTTAAAGTGAAACTCAGTGACCTCTACTTCAGAGGCTACTAGATACAGGCTTGAGAGACTAATGCCAACTATGAGTAACCATCTCAAGGTATAGAACCGTAGCTACAAATTCTCATCCCACATTTAGTTATTTGGCTGCCCTTCTCACCTGAAACGAGCTATGTGGGAAAGAACAAGACCTGAACTACATTTTCTCTATAATGATGAGTCACTGAGAAATGTAGTCTTTCGTATGAACTGGCTCCTGTCTACATTCACCTCCAAATAAATGTGTGAGCTGGCACCTCCCAAACGCTAAATACACTCGATTGGAACACGGCGGCTTGAATACACCGTTCCCCTATGTGCCTCAGACTCAGAAACCCACCTGTAGGTCGGAATTTTTAAGATGTTCCTATGACTCATTTCAGACTCAATACGGCAATCCTCCCATCTATGTGACAGAAAACGGCGCGTCTCAAATATTACACTGTATGCAGTTATGTGATGAATGGAGAATTCAGTACCTTAAGGGCTACATAAATGAAATGCTAAAAGGTGAGATACAAACCAAGATGGCCTTCACATATTTTCTACTTAATTTGGACTGAATTTGATAACAGCTGTGATTGACTAAAGCTCGTTTCTGAATCTCATAAATGAATACATTTAAAATTATCTTCACAATGTTATTTTTCCAAGTAAGTGAAATATATTAAAAATGGAACAAAATGTCTTTGCAGCTATAAAAGATGGTGCTAACATAAAAGGGTATACTTCCTGGTCTTTGTTGGATAAGTTTGAATGGGAGAAAGGATACTCAGACAGATACGGATTCTACTATGTCGAATTTAACAACAGAAATAAGCCGCGCTACCCAAAGGCGTCAGTTCAATATTACAGGAAGATTATCACTGCCAATGGGTTTCCCAACCCGAGAGAGGTAGGACTAATTATTGATGTTACTTGTTCTAAGATTTTTTTAAAATCTCTACATCCAACATGGGCTCAAACTCACAAACCCAAGATCAAGAGTCACGTGCTCTTACGTCCGAGCCAGCCAGGCGCCCCTCACTTGTTCTAGATTTTTGAAGAGCTAAGCAGCTTGGGGTGTGCAGTGTGGCAAGCCTCTCCCCTCTGTGGAGGAGAACGGGGCTGTGTGGGAACATGGGCCTTTGATTCTTCCCCTAATTTGTGCCACCTCTTTGCTCATTTGCTTAGAATGGGGTAAACATGCCCTAAAATTCAGTCCTCACTTCAAATTCACTCCCAACTTGCAGAGCATGAAGAACAAAGAAAGTTATGTAGTCCTGTTTGTTTTAGGTTATAAGAGTCAGTAGAGACTTCTAGTTAAATGTTATCCTAAATGTTACATCTTAATGCAAACAAATACTGCCTACTTACTCTTTAACATATATGGAAACAGGCAAATTAAATGTATAATGACCATAACTTCCACTTCTTTTCTCCCACTAGTTCCAAAATGAGATTAAAAATGATCAAACAATATTAACAATCCTTTAAAACATACCATTTTCAGTTACCTGTAGATTTTTCTATCCGTTCTCTATGTTGCTATTGATGGCAAGAAATAGAAATCATAATTTAGAATGTCTCAATAAAGATAACTTCTAAAAATAAATCTCAGTTGTTTACCAATGTCCTTTTAGGATGAGCCCAGTGGCACCATAAACAGTGACTCATAGGCATTCACCAGTTTGGCATTTCTAGAAAAGTGCTAGATTGTAAGTTCCTCAAGAATAAAGACCAGTTTTGTTTTGTTTTGTTTTGTTTTTTCTGACTCCCTCACAATGATGCACATAGGTATTTAATAAATATTAACTAATTTAAACTCCAGGCAGATTTACGCTTTTTTAATCCCACATTATTTCAAAAATGATTTGGAACAGCAAAAAATTAGTCTAAGATGACATTACTTACCTAGTGGGTTTTTATTAGGTGGAGAGTTGGTACCTCAAAGCCTTGGAAACTTGTTCTATCAACAACCAGATGCTTGCTGCAGGTGAGTATATTTTAATTTTTCCCTTTGATAATTAAGGCACATAATTATACGTATAATGACGTTACCGAAACCTCAAAATGTGGATCTACCTGAAGTCAATCATTCCGAAACATACAATTAAAAATGAATTTTTTCCTTCACTTTGAAACAATGTCAAATTTCTGTTTTATAAGCATTTCAAATAACATTTTAAAAATCTACCACAAAAGAGAAATATTTTATCCTCCCTAGTTTTGATTCTTTCTGAAGCACACAGCCAGTTTATAAACCTATTTTGGTTACAGTGGGCTTTGTGGAAGGAGGGAAAAATGCAACCATATTCAAATAAAGAAAAGGCAAAGAACACTCCAGGTATTATATTCACTCATTCAGCAAGTAATTATTGAGCACTCACTATTAGCTAAGGGGTGTTTTAAGCCCAGCAATAAACCAAACAAGGTCCCTGAAGGCAAGGTTTCTGGTGCAGTAGGATAGAAAAGGCTCAGAGATGTAGAATAACAAAGATCCATCTACATACTAATGAATGCCAGCACACAGCATATGTTTCTTTGAATTCTGTCTTTCCCTAAGGGCAATCAGAGAAGTATACTTCCTGTTTTAACAAACCCATCTTTAATGTGGTATCAGGGGTGGAAAGTGCTAGATGGAACAAATCCTACCAATTCAGCTATTTTTTCCCCCAATTCAGCTATTTTTATAGGCCATCACTACCGTGCTCTGCTCCCATCTAAATAACCAGGTAATATTAAGGATATATATTCCTTTAAACCAAAATTAACTTGTATTTTATCACCTAGACACATGATGTAGAATTTACTGCTGAGTCTATGAATTCTGTGGGAACAGGGCCTCATGCCTTATTTATCATGGTAGTCAGGGTGGCAGGCACAAAACCTAGAAGTGGGAATTACATAAATGTCCACTACTATAATCATGTACATGAAACATGCTTATCACTCAACTCTTCAAGATTAATTAACCATGCAAGAATTGCCACACAAACTTTCAGTATGGAAACTCTTACACCTCTTAAGATACACAATAACATCTTTGAAAGGTTACCGAGGCTTCCCCACGATTTTTCTTTCACAACCCCCCCAGTGAAAATTACAGCAACCGTGGAACACGCCTGTTAGTTAATATCCTCATATGAATTTAGGGTAAGTATAACATACACTTAGACTTTATTCTAATACCTGTGGAAGAACCAAATGTAGGCATTCTTTACCCCATACTTTGTGAAATATTTTATAAAGCCCTCACATAATTTTTTTAGTAACATTTCATTCACCATGTTCTCTTTTAGAGCAACTGAGAATAATTACAAAGCTTGATGATACCATTTTCCAAGTTTTTCCCAATACAGCTGAATCTTTCAGGGTGAGGCTATATTCGCTGAAATGATGACATGCTCATTTGTGGTGTTTTCTCTCCCATTTCAGAGCCGCTGCTAAGTCACATGCAGATGGTGACAGAGATCGTGGTACCTACAGTCTGCACCCTCTGTGTACTAATCTCTGCAGTTCTCCTGATGCTCCTCCTGCGGAGCCAGAGCTGAGACAGGGTCACCCATTTTGTGGATTCATCTTTCATCAAGAATCTTCAGGATCTTCCTCCTTTCTCTGCTTTGAAGGTTTATATACATTTCTGTTTTCAGGCTCTGTGATAAATTTTTTTGTTTTGTTTTGGTCTTGTGCTGGGATTTAAAAATTAGAAAATAAAAGTAAGCATAAATGAAATAAAAATCACCTGTCAAAGCCAATGTTAATATTTTGCTATTAGGCATCTATCTTCACTTTGCAAAAAAGGAATCATAGCGCACAAACTGTTTTGATTCTTGATTTTTTTTTTCCTTCTAAAACTCTGTCCAGAGGCGCCTGGGTGGCTCAGTCGATTAGGCATCCAACTCTTATTTTGGCTCAGGTCATGATCTCAGGGTCCTGGGATCGAGTCCTGTGACAGGCTCCCCAGTTATCGCAAAGTCTGCTTGTCTCCCTCTGCCCCTCCCCCTGCTCATACTCTCTCTCTCTTAAATTAATACATAAATCTTTTAAAAAATATATAAAAATAGGGGCGCCTGGGTGGCTCAGTTGTTAGGCGTCTGCCTTCGGCTCAGGTCCTGATCCCAGGGTCCTGGGATCGAGCCCCAGGTCGGCTCCCTGCTCAGCGGGAAGCCTGCTTCTCCCTCTCCCACTTTCCCTGCTTGCGTTCCCTCTCTAGCTGTGTCTCTGTCAAATAAATAAATAAAATCTTTAAAAAAAAATAAAAACTTAAAAAAAAAAGAAAGTTTCCTTTGGAAAAAATAAATAAAAATAAAAATCTATCCAGAAAAATTACTTTATTGTGGAAATAACTGCCATCCTAGCACTGTCCTACACACAATGGACAGAGTCAATCATCTACAGATAACAATCCCTTCAGGTTCTAAATTCTATCAAGCAACTAGGAAAATGCATTATTAGGTGGGTACCAGGTAAGTGAGCACATACACTTTTCTGAGATAAACTTTCTTGTGTTAAATTCAATTAACCTCAGTGAAATACCTCAAAGAAATATTATTTAATATCTTTTCCGTAACTAGGTATTCAGGGTTTTTAAAATGAAGGTCCATTTTATTCTTTAATTATGCTAAAATGCTAAAATTAAATAACATCTATTTATTTGGGGACAAAACATGGCTTAAGAATGATATGAAGCATTTTATTCATTACCTAATTCTACTGTTTCTGAAACAAAAACAGTAAGAGAGTAGAAAATGCTATTGCATTAATTCTCTTGGCTATCTCAAACATTTTAAAAAGGGTATTTGCATCTGGGGCTTTAGCACTACAACTGGGCTGGGGTAAAAGTGTTTTGTTCTTTTTAAATTTTTATTTAAATTACAGTTAATTAACATATAGTGCAATATTGGTTTCAGGAGTAAAATTTAATGATTGATCACTTACATATAACACCTAGTGCTCAACACAAGTGCCCTCCTTAATGCGCATCAGTCACCTAGCCCATCCCCCACTCACCTCACCCCATCAACCCTCAGTTTGTTCTCTAATGTTAAAGAGTCTCTCATGGTTCATTTCCCTCTCTTTATTTTCCCCCATCCCATATGCTCATCCGTTTTTTTTTTTCCTCTTAAATTCCACATAGGAGTGAAATCATATGGTACTTGTCTTTCTCTGACTGACTTATTTCACATAGCATAATATAGTCTAGTTCCAGCCATGCTGTTGCAAATGGCAAGACTTCATTCTTTTTGATGGCTGAGTAATATTCCATTGTATATAGGAATGAAATAAAAATTTCATTTTACCCATTCATCAGTTGATGGACACTTGGGCTCTTTCCATAGTTTGGCTACTGTTGATAATGCTGCTATAAAATATCGGGTGGCTGGGGTAAAATTGCTTTTAACAGAACTTTGCTTTCAATGTCAAATCGACAGGCTCATTCAGGGTTTTTCTCTCCCATCAATGTTTTTGAAATCAAACTCTCTACCACATATACAGATTTAAAATGCAAAGACATTACCACTCAAAAAAATGTTTTCGTTTCTCTGGTTTTAGGATTAACCTGACCTATTAAGGTGACTACAGAAGGTAGAAAGGAAATTAAAGACTTGCGTTGCTCAATAACATCTGGTAAGCCTCTTGCATGATTACTGAAAAATAATCCATATTCCAAATGGATTAAATCAACATTTCTGTTGTAGAAAAAACTGAAACATAAGATACTTAATACATTACAAAGTATTTGGGGGGGGGGGACACAAAGCGAACATACTACCTTACAGAGGACTCCGTCAGCCGACTTCACTTGAAATGCACCTGGCTGCAGGTAACCAGGTTAGTAAAGGACATCCTTTCTTCCAGGCTACCATTCAATGTTAACTCAGAAACATCTGTAACCAGAGATCAGAAGTGCTTACCAGCCTGCTGGCCTTTCTACTACATACTGCTGAATGTTACAATAATCAAGAGGTAATCTGAATGACATGTGTCTTCTACTTTGAATTTGTGAGACAAAACCCAGCAGGGACAATTCCTTTACATAGTAAACCCTTTGTGCACTGAAAACGTGATTAAAGAAAATACAAAGCAGATTTTTTTTTTTAATCCTGTATTTAATTTGGGAACCTACTGCTTTATCTTTGTGTCTCATCCACTGTGGTTAAACTCTTTTTCCCATCTTAACACATGTTTCAGAAACCAATTTCTACTTGGGACTTCTAGACACATATGCATTTTTTCCTCTGCTGAAGACTGTTGTATTTAAACAATAAATGGTACAGTTAACATTTAGAGGAGATTATGTCCCTGTTCTTGTGGGTCAACATTTTGGTTTCCACATTCTCACCATTCCCAACAATCATTTGCGGAGTGCCCCCTGGGAGAGTGGCACTCTCCCGGCCACTGACCTTCTCCCCTGTTCACTCCAAATCATTGTTCTCTTCCCCATGACATCTCTTCTCAAGTCTTCCGGCTTTTGATCCCAATGTTTTACTCTACAGTATCACAACATGAGATATCTTGAAAAGCTAGTAACTGACCTAAGTGCTCAGTCCAATGAAGCAGAAAGTCTAACCTCTGAAATGCATATGATGTTTGGCAAGAATAAATCACGACTGGGCTTTAATATTTACACAGTTGGGTCTTTGAATAGCCAATACTGCTTACAACTGAGGGCCTCCTTCACCAGTGGGTCTTGCTTTGGGCTGAGGACTGAATAATTTCTAGATGAACACATCAAGAACATAAGATGGGGAGAAGAGGTTAAAAAGTTCTAGCCAAAATGGAGTATGAGTGCTTTCCCAAGCACGCAAATACACGATTTCGTAAGAATTCCTATTTAAAAAAAAAAAAAAATTCCTTATTTTCATAGACGGAGTCATTGGAACAATGCATCAATAAATTGTTTTAACTCTAACCAAAGTAACTTTCACTCTTTTTTGAAGTAATCTGCATCAAAGACTCTAGAAGATACGTTCAATCTATTTCACTTAATCAGCATCATTGAAAAAGGTGTTTAATCTTGCATGAATTTCCTCATAAAACAGGTTTAAGCTTTACGTACTAAAACTTACTTTAAAACGGCATTTTCACATATGTTCATGGCTTTAAAACTTTATTTTTAATCATAAAATACAGGTCTTTAAAAAAGAAAAAACGAACCTGAAACAACACAGGTAGAGAAACAAAATACTTAAATTAGTGGTTCTCAAACTAGTTGCGCAATAGAATCCCCTGGAGAATGTTAAAAATTACTGATGTCCAGGCACTAGCTCCAGAGATTGATTTACTTGGTCTTGGTATTAAGACTTTAAAAAGCTCCCTAAATGATTTTAATGTTCACCCAAAGCAGAGAACAACCCCTGCCCCCATCATGCCACACCTCCGGGTTAAAACTTCATTGTACCCTTCCAGATATTTTCTTATGCCCCATTCTCCATTATTTTTTTCCACGCTTTTGCTACTGTAAACAATATCACACTTGTTCATAGGTCTTTTTCCACATGTCTGGTTTTATGTATGGAATAAATCCCTACTAGTAAAACTAGTGGCCTACAAAATGTATTTTAAATTTTGGTGGATATCACTCTCCACAGGAGCTGTACAACCTTACACTTGAAGTGGCAATGTGTGAGGCTGACCACCTCTTCAAATCCTTGCCAGTACTATACACCAAACTTTTTGATCTTTGCTAATCTGAGAGGTGAAAGATGGTATCTCTGGGATATAAATGTGCATTTCTCTTACTACAGGTGGGGCTGAGCACCTTTTATTTTGAAGATGACATCTGAATTTCCTTTTTAGTAAACTGTTCATGTTACTTGCCCATTTTTCTATTGAGTTATTAATATATTTTTCTTACTGATTTAAGAGTTCTTTATATACTAGGCAATGTAGCCCCTTTTCTGAACATGGGCCGCAAATTAATTTTCCTTGTTGTTTGCCCCTGGTATTTTTTTGTCATGCAGAAATTTTTCTAATTTTATATGGTTGATTTTCAAGCTTTATACCCTCCAGGTTTCAATCACACTTAGAAAAATTTTGACTGATGGTTCTCAGGAATATTTTTCAGTTTCTTTAGGACTTTTACCATTCAGCCATATGAAGAGAGAAGTTTCCATTATGATTGAATCCAAAAATATTCTGGGGAGAAGAACAAACATTTTCTGGAAATAATTTTGCAAGGTATCAATCTCTAAAATAGAACTATTTGTATAGTTCTGCAGTTCAACAACCAGCAGCAGTGGCTGACTATAGGCTTTTGAAATCTTTTCAGATTCTGTCTTAAAACGATCAGATTTGATTTTGGATAATCATCGCAATATCTGAAATGCAGCCATTTAAGATCTATACGAGAGGACTGCACCATGCAATCCACACACCCGAAGATAACAGTTTATAGGTGCTTTTGCTGAAGGAGAAATACTCGGAGCCAGCTGATTACACCAGGGGCTTGCACACATTCCCTGACTGATGGACCATATTTGACAGAACATTAGAAGTATCAACCCTCCTCCTGCCCCCCAGAGAAGACATTAGGGCAGAAATATCATCAACGAAAGAGTGCACAAAAGAATGAGCTGGAATTCCAACCTTATCATCTGTTTTTACTCCCTGTATCCCTATTGCTTGACCTCTTTTAATAAAAGTTCCTCTATTGAGGATAATGAGAAAAAGCACTCTTCCAGGATTTTTTTTTTCCCAAAATAAATATGTTTTACACCTGTAGTTCAGGAAAATCCTTTAAAACTAAGCACGAGAGCTATCATATGTGCTAGTAAAGATTCCGTTTCTCTTCTATTGGAAGAACTTATCTGAACAGATGACAAGCCATCTTTACCAGATTTGTGGAAGCTCAGATGGTCTACAGGTGCGCTGTCACTCAGCTGCCAAACTGTTTTCACCTTCTTCTGACCACCACTTATTTCCACCTGCCATTTCTGCGGCTTCTCACTAAGGAAAGAGAAAATATCAAAGGGGAACAAAAAAGCCCGAGTTATTTCCTTCCTTTTTTCTTCATTTCCTTCCTCCCTCCATCCATCCCTCCCTCCCTTCCTTCCTTCCCTCCACACTCATTAGAGAAATCCTGATGTGAGAGGCACGGAGGAGGCAGAGACGAACAGGCTGCAGTTCTAAATTTTGGGTTTTGAGTCTGAACTACCTACAGGACACTGACGTTGGGCATTCACATCTAACAGGCAGCTAGAAACACGGCCTGAAGCTCAGGAGCTAGAGACATGAGTTATGAATCATCATTAGCACAGAGGAAGCAAGGCCTTGAGTACAAATACAACCAGCCAGGGAAGACGGGAAGTAAGAAGAAAGGGAGGCAGAAGGTGGAGTTCTGGTGAAAACCCACATGAGAAGCAGGCAGAGGAAGAACGTGAAGAGAGATCTACTCTCAGTCTTGCAGGTATGCCAGAGAGAGAGAGGTAAAATTAAGACAGAAGCTACATCACAGAAATGAAGCAAGGGGATAGGTCCAAGAAAGGAATAGTGTTAAATGCCAAACAACCTTGTAAGTGCTTACTTGTAAGGAGAAAGAATTGGTGGGCCAGCTAATGACACAAGGGGCCAAAACATACTCTTTTACCAGAAAGTTGTCCACCAGATTTGGCAATTAGGAGGCCACTGGGGCCCTCTGCCAGAGCAGTTTCAAGGAATGACAAGGTTTGGCCGAGAGGGAACCAAACCGAAGGAGGGTATAAACAGAGTGGCTTGGGTAGAAGAGAAATTTCAAGTACATTGCATGCAGAGGGAAGAGTCAGGGAGACCATCATTGGCGGCAACCTCAGAGTCTGTGTGGATGGTCAATCCGTCACCTTAGCCTCACAGCCCCCGTACCTCCCCAATCCCAAACCCTCTCGCTCCCACAGCCATACCCTTGGCTTTGTCATCATTGCCCTGATCACTTCCTTCCCAATCTGTCATTTCCCTTCTGGCTGTATTTTCTGCCCTATACTGTGAAGGAATTACAGATTGAGAGAAAAAATGAAAGACTAGAGGTCCACAGATAGAAAGAGAAAAGACAAAAGAAAGTCTAGGAGAGGAAAGAGGGGGAACTCCTATCAGATGACAATCACAGAGCAGGAAAGAGATGATTAAGGCTTCAGAGGTGGAGTAGCTCTTGGTCAGGAGATCCCCAGGGGGAGGACACAGAAACTGCCCAGGAATTACAGCCAGGCTTAAAGTATAATTTTTTTTAAAGATTTATTTATTTGAGAGACAGAGAGAGAGAGAAAGAGTACATGTGCACAAGTAGGGGGAGGGGCAGAAGAGGGAGAGGGAGAAGCAGACTCCCCACTGAGCGGGGAGCCAGACATGGGGGCCTGATCCCAGGACCCTGAGATCATGACCCAAGCCAAAGGCAGACGGCCACCTAGGCACCCCCCCTTTAAAGTATAATTTAATTACTGAATTGCTGACCTTTGATATAAGCTTTTTACAGCAGTTGGTCTGACTGGCAGCTGAAAAATGTGTTGCTCATCTAGAGGATTTTGTTTGTAGTATTTTACGCAGGATCTAAAAACAAACAAACAAAAACCAACAACAACAACAACAAAGGACCTCTTTTGGAAAAAAAAATGTCACTTGGAGATAAAGGCTTTCTGGTAATCTAAAGCTCATATGGGAAACTTTTCATCCAGTACCACTAACCAAAACAACAACAAAAGAATAATTCCAGGGCCACAAAAGTAAACAAACAAAACAATGCCCCCTCCCCCGACACAAAAGTTAGGCTGCTTTTGACTCTGAAAGGAAATCTCATTCAATTTTTTTCTCCAATTTTTAAAAATCAATAGAAGACATATTTCTCACAAATACAGAATATACTTAAGTTGAGCCAAAGTAAAGGCATGAGTGGGGAGAAAGAGGTTATCAGAAAAAGAAAAGCAAAAGAGAGACAATGATATAGCTTCCAAGGTTTTCAGACTCTGGCGAATTAAAGAGTTAACTCATTTAGCCTATTCATCTTTTTTTTTTAATTAATTTTAATTATTTAACACAGAGAGAGAGAGAGAGAGAGAGCGAGGGCAGGAACACAAGCAGGGGCAGTGGGAGAGGGAGAAGCAGGCTTCCCGCGGAGCAGGGAGCCCGATGCGGGGCTCCCATGACCTGAGCCAAAGGCAGACGCTTAACGACCGAGCCACCCAGGCGCCCTACCCTATTCATCTTTAATGAAAATAAATCTTTTAGATTCTGTAAACAAAAACAATTTCAAACTTTTCCCTGTACAACGGAGACAGATTCTGATTTCGGGAAAGGCCATGGTACATTTCCTTCCCCAGGGAAAAAGCCAGCCCTTCCCCCGGATGGTTCACTCATTTCCAATGTGAGGCTTCAAATACATGTAAGACACCAGCAACCCATGTAAAAGGATAGTTCCAAACTGTTTCTGGTCAAACTGATCAGCAGAATCTCTAAAATTATAGCAGCGCTGTTGACAGAGGTATGGTAATAATAGTTGGTTCCATTCAATCACCATATGGAGATCTAGCAATGATTCATTTGGCCCCAATGTATAAGGATAGAAAGAAAAGGAAATAGTCATGAAGCACCTATTAGGTGTTGGGTACTTACACACAGGCCATCATTTAACCCCAACAACCAACACATGAGGTTATCAGTTCCTGTCTCTAGATGAGAAAACAAGATGCAGCAAAAGGAAACTTCCTCAGGAAGTCAGAAAGTGCTAGAGCCAAGTGTCGAACCTGAGTCCTTCTGAATCCAAAGCCTTTCCCTTCCTCCGACAGGGATTGAGAACCCTTCTGCTACTGTGAAGACAGGCTGTACAGATTCAAGCCTAACTGATAATAAAAACTGCACAAATTTCGGCTCCAGCTATTTCACAAGAGAATTCACGTTCATGTGACGGGAACAAGAGAGCAATACTTACTGTGTTAAAGCAAAGAGGAGCTCGTGCTGGGGCTTAATGAAAAGCATGCAACTGACTAACATTTCTAGAATATGGTGGAGTTTCTGAACACGGTACACCTGTTCTTGTATATCTACTGATGCAGTAATGAAATATTCCTGGAATGAAAAACAGTACAAGCAAAAGAGGGGGTTAACAGAACAGAAGGTTGTTAGGTTCTGTTGTTAACAGAAAAACCCTTACGAAGATTGCTATGCTTGCTAAACTTCAACTACGCTTGATCAATAGGGGGAATATGGAGGCAGCCGGAGAGAAATTTACCACCTTTCAATATTGTGCGTCCTTACTGAGAATGGTCTCAGCAAACTGTTACATTCTCTGGTCTAAACAAATCCAAGAACTGCCTCACCAAGGAGGCCTGAGTGGGGTAACTAATACCACCCATAGAGCTCTCCAGATGGAATAACTGGCAAAGCCACAAGATAATTCTTAATTTCAATACCCTCGCCGGGGTGACGGTAGCGTCCACCTCTAAAAATAGGTACCAAGTAGCAAGAAATTAATCAAGTGTATTGATAAGCTTCCACTCATCTATTATTGGTAAAGTGGTACAACCGTTTAAAAAAAGAAACTTGGCAATGTATGTCAAGCATCTTAAAATGCTCAGACCTCATCCTATTTCTGAGAACAGTTCCTAAGGAAATACTCCATGGTAAATATGGTAGGTGGAATTCTATGATGGCCCCCAAGATTCCCACTGCCTGATGTACACATCTTGTATAATCCCTTCCCCTTGGCTGAGGCCAGAACTTGTGAATAGGAGGGGATGTTACTTCCATGATATGTTTATTAGATGACTGCCTTTGAATTAATCTAAAGGGAGATTATCACCTGATCATCACTATGACCTACCTAATCAAGTGAGATTTTTAAGAGAAGGTGAAGCATTAGAGATGCTCTCCTGTTGGCTCTGAAGAAACAAACTGCCCATCCACAAGCAACCCCTAAGACCTGAGACTGGCTGTGGGCCAAGAGCTAGGAATAAAATGGGAACTTTGGTCATCAGGCCATAAGGAAATGAATTGTACCAAAAACAAATGAGGGAACTTAGAAATAGATTTTTCCCTAGTCAAGCAGAGGGATGACACCTTGATCTCAGCCTTGTGAAACCCTAAGGAGACGACCCAGGTAAAATGTACCTAACGACCAACCCCGGGAAACTGTGATAGAATACATCTGTGTTCATTTACGCTTCTAAGTTTCTACTCCAGGAGTCCCCCCTTTATCGAAGGTTTCACTTTCTATGGTTTCAGTCCTCCTGAAAGGTCAATAGTGGTCTAACACTAGGTCACAACACCTACATCATTCACCTCACTCAATCTCTTCGGGTCTTGTGAGCAAGACCAGTGAGCACAGTAAGATACTTTGAGAAAGGCAGAAACCACACCACATATCTTTTATTTCAGTATATCATTATAATTGTTCTATTTTTAGTTATTGCTGTTAATCTCTGACTGTGCCTAAACTTTAGGATAGGTAAGTGTGTACAGGAAAAGACACAGTATACAAAGGATTCAGTACTGCCCATGGTAATCCCTCATGGATAGGTGGGGACTACTGTAATTTGTTATGCAGTAACAGAAAATGAATACAGTAAGGAAAAAGCATCAGAATCACGTGAAATAGGAGAGGACTTGTTTAAAAAGACATATTCTTGAGCCCCAGGCCTATGGAGTCACTAGGGCCCAAGAATTAGCAATTCAATAAGCCTTCAAGGAGATTCTCCAAGTTTAAGGACCATTGTGTCAAAAGTTTGGAGTCAAACCATATTAAAATAAAAAACAGGCAAATGAAATGACTAGGGGGGATTCATGAAAATAAGGAGTACTTTATCTGTTATTTATTTATCTGTCTACTTATCTACCTATTTCCTAGGTCCTAGGACAGGGGCTGGCACGAATAGGTATTTAGTATCTACAGGTAGAATGAATAAAAGAAAATCAACTTTAGAATAAAAAAACAAACTCACCAAATGATTCAAAGATGCAAGTTCCTGACCTAGTAAGAAAAAACACATAAATGCAAATAAGCTTTGGGTATTGTCTATTACATGCTAAGGAACTTAAGTAAAAATTTTCAGAGTTCATATATAAAAGGGATGCTCAAGCTAAATAGTTCCTCAGAAATGGCCAAATATTCTGGCATGTTATACATTAAATATATATTAATGCTACTCTAAAATGATCACAGCTTGCCTCTAATAAAAACAACCAAGTGTTGGGTATTAAAGCAGCATCCCACAAAAAGGCTTTTTTTAATTTACTTTAATTTACTACAAACTGCCCATCCACAAGCAACCCCAGTAGATCCTGGTAGGATCTCAAAATCTTTGAACTCAAAACACAACCAAACAAAATCTAGAGTTCTATTTAATCGAGTATCTTTATCAAGAAGGAAACTAAATATCGGAGAACAGAAGTGCTAATCTCACAGTGAACCAGAGCCAAAGCCAGAGCTATAAATGACTAGGGCCAAGTAGAAAGAGAACATCTGAGAATACCTATGACTGATGATTGTGAAGTGCTTTTTAATTTTTTGAGCTGGGAAAGGGACTCACCTATGAAAAAACTGATATAATCCTTCTTTAGTTTGTCCAGACCAATTTCCAAAAGCATCTTGACTGGAATAGTCCCACTGAGAGCAACTGTGTCCATGGTTCCATGATAAGACTGATGAATCAGCTTACTTAGTAAACTGTTACTCCCACTATGGAGCTAGAAATAATAAAAAAATATATACCATAAATAAAAAGATAAACAAATCCAATAAACAAAAAAGCAAACTGCATTAGCTATGAGCTAAAAATGATAAGCGTGCATTTTTAGTCTCCTGATACCATAAATTGCTTGAATAAAAAGCCCTAAGTTATAAACATGCCCATTCCTGAAGTGTCATTCCTATATGATATGCTTTAGTCCAAAGCAACTACGAAGAGGTTCAATTGATCACCCCCAGATACAATTCCACCAAAGAGAAGACAGAGTTGGTCCTCTGAAGCTTTGTAACTAGGACTCCCTTTCTCCTAGAGCTCATTAAGTGCTCCTGGGCAACCTCCCCAACACTGAGCATCTTCCTCTGCACAGAACACCTGCTACTTCGGGACAACTGCCACCCTCGCTGGTCTCTACATGTGTCAGCGCTCCTTGGCTACAGTATCTCACATACTAACTAGATCATCTGCAAATCAAGAAGGGCTGTGAACTTATAGATCTAATGCATGTACCAAATGTTAAACACTTCGTTTTAAAGATACCTGAAATGCTGGACATTTTCTCACTAATGTCTGTCATCTCTAAGCTCCATCATAACCTTTGGCGTTTCCCTTGTTTTAATAAAAACAATTTCCGTGTTGTTTACACTCATTGCACATGGTGGGGATATACTGGCAAACATCTCACAAACACAGAGAATCACGTGAGAAAACCTCTATGGCAGAGGTTAGAATGTCTACAGCCACCACCGCCCAGTGAGAGGCAGCACTCACATGCCTCTGCTTTGCAGCAGATCTCTGTGCACGCCCACGAAAGTTTCTAAGTTTTGGAGTTATGAATTGGCAGCTACTCTATTTCATTTATTTGAGAGAGAGAGAATGAGAGATAGAGAGCACGAGAGGGAAGAGGGTCAGAGGGAGAAGCAGACTCCCTGCTGAGCAGGGAGCCCGATGCAGGACTCGATCCCGGGACTTCAGGATCATGACCTGAGCCAAAGGCAGTCGCTTAACGACTGAGCCACCCAAGCACCCCGGCAGCTACTCTATTTCAAAGAATTCCTATGAAATGAGGAATCTTTTGGTTTCTAGTTTTTTTACTTAGCTTTTTCTTGATTGTAAAAGCACAAGTACATTGTGGAAAATCCATAAAGTGTAGAAATGTAGAATGCATTTGGAAAAACTCATGTGTAACCCTAGCACCAGAGGCAACTGCTTTAACATTTTGGTATATTTATTCCCAGGTTTTTCCCTCCAAAAGTTACTTTCTTTATGCAATAATATACAGTCCTTTCTTTTTACTGCAGATTGTAAGCATTTCTCCACATCATGTCAGCATCATTTTAGCAACAATCACATACGCCATTATCAGGCTATATCATTATTTACTTAGTCCATTAACAGGAAATTTAGGTTATTTATAACTTTTTGCTACTATAAATGAGGCTGTGGTGACTATTCTAACACATAAAATCTTGATACATATTCCTATGTATGAGCTTAGGGTGGATCCTAAGAAAAAAACTAATGATTTAAAGGGCATGCATGATACATTTTGAGGATCTCAGTGTATTTATCCACAATTGCTTCATAGAGAATATCCCAATTTGTGCTCTCATCAGTAGTATGTGAGAATGATCATTCACAGCAACAACTACAGTACTAGTATCTTACACATACTGAACACTTAATTATGAGCTGGGTGCTAAGTTGCATTACATGAATTAAATTATTTAGCCCTAATGGGGTGCCTGGGTGGTTCAATGGGTTACGAGTCTGCCTTCGACTTAGGTCATGACCTCAGGGTCTTGATATAAGGTCTTGATATAAATTAAGAGCCCCACATCAGGCTCCCTACTCGGCAGGGAGCCTGCTTCTCCCTCTCTCTCTGCCACTCCCCCTGTTTGTGCTGTCTCTCTCTCAAATAAATAAATAAAATCTTTAAAAAAAAAACAAATTCTTTTTTAAGCCCTAAAACAACCCTATGACAGATGTACTTTTCCTACCTCTACTGTACAGATGAAGACGCTGGGGCACAGAGACGTAAAGAAACCTGCCCAAGTTTACAGAGCTAAGAGAGTAGGAGGGCCGGGCGCCTGGGTGGCTCAGATGGTTAAGCGTCTGCCTTCGGCTCAGGTCATGATCCCAGGGTCCTGGGATCGAGTCCCGCATCGGGCTCCCTGCTCCTTGGGAGCCTGCTTCTCCCTCTGCCTCTCTCTCTCTGTCTCTCATGAATAAATAAATAAAATCTTTAAAAAAAAAAAAAAAAAAAAGAGAGTAGGAGGGCTGGGTTCAAACTCAGGCAGTCTGCTCCCAGGCCCATGCTGTGCAGCTGAAAAAGTGCTCTAACACACACTATTAAACTTACCCACGGCTGTATATCACCACGTTGTAGACTCTGGATGATCAGTGTGAAACACTTCACCAAGTCTTGATATGAAATCACACCTTGGAAAACAAGTCAGTCCAACATTACTTTCATGGTATTTTTGCAGATCAAATATATCATCAATCTTAAGGATAGACAAATAAATAGAAGTATCTGTACTTTATGGGTGGGGGAAAGAAATTAAAGGCAAGATTTAACACATTTCTAAAGTAAGAGAGTAAACTCACTGTCACAAAGTAACACAGTGCAAAATTAAGGAATATCTTTTCCTTTTGCTAATAATTATAATGCCACTAAGGTGGAGGTGTTTATTTATATAAATGTAATATAAAAGCCACCTACGTCTTATACTCAAGGCAGGAGAGAAGAACAGACTCTATAAATTGCCTTACCTTAGTACAATTCTTGAGTAGAATGTGCCAGTTTATTATTAGAAGTGAATTTGAGAAAATAGGAACCAGCCTTCCATGCAAGACTAGTAGTACACTAGTCCTATATTATTTTCAAAGACTTAAAAGTAAACCTAACAGATGACAGGAAACATTTTATTTCACAATCATGACAGACACCTACTACCACTCATTTTGAACCACAGCTGCTCAGCAAAATCCAGATCCCCCCGTACTGTGAAGAGACACTCGATGGAGCGATCAACTGCAGCACTGTCATGCTTCACCGTCTGAAAAAGCAGCGTCAGAGAGTGACTCAGTATATTAAGCAAAAGGAATAGTTCAAGGCCAGTGAGCTTTCAAATGCTGCTCTGAGAAAATGGGGATCCACAGATGGGAATGAATTTTCTACACTTTCATTCAATCAAGAGGAGAGATCAATCAAGTGACAGTGAAAAATGGGACCCCTAAAATTGTTATAGAAGTGTGATGCCTAAAAGCAAGCATTCAACTTTCCTTTGATGCAAAAATACTTAAATGACATTTGTCTCCATTTTCCTGTTCCATCAAATGACAACCTATTTAGCTTAATTTAATGATGTCAGGAAAGGCATATTAACATATCATCTCATAGTATATTAGTATAATAATGCCATCTAATAGCATCTTGACTTGGTCATTTCTGTTTCTCTGCAGTTGACCAATTAATAATACGTACGTATTAGTTCTCTTCAAAAGCATTTTTTTTTTTAAAGATTTTGTTTATTTATTTGACAGAGAGAGACACAGCGAGAGAGAGAACACAAGCAGGGGGAGTGGGAGAGGGAGAAGCAGGCTTCCCGCGGAGCAGGAAGCCCAATGCGGGGCTCGATCCCAGGACCCCGGGATCATGACCTGAGCCGAAGGCAGACGCTTAATGATGGAGCCACCCAGGCGCCCCTCAAAAGCATTTCTTAGTTCTTAGGTAAAACAATCACCAGTGCTGACATTAAAGACCAACAAGAAACTACCCTTAAGATGCTGCCTTAGCTACACCAGATCCACTTGAAATAGTATGACATGAAGGATAGCAGTACAACCAAATTTTAAAAGCTATTTCAGTGCACATTTCTAACTGACAACTATTTCAAGACACATTTCTAACTCACTTACCTCTGCGTCTTTTTTTGTAGAATCACCAAATCCATCCAGCTTATTTAAGTCTAGAAAGTAGAAAAGCTTGTTAACTCTAGATTTTATTTTTCTGCTTTCTAAATTATTTCCATTCTAATCCTATTTTCAAATGGTAAATGAGGACAGTAGAAGTATAACCAGGGATTTTAGCAAATTACTTGACTCTACTGGAGGTTATGATACACACTCACAAGGTGGGAGTGCGGGGATGAATTGAGATACAGTGAAAGCCCCGACACACAACGTTGGGCACATGGTTGGTGCTCAAAGGTTTCTGTTCCATCCCTCTTTTCCTACAATCTCAAATACAGCTGTGGTATATAAAATTTAAATTCAATACTATTCTTAAAATTACTTAGACCTCTACTGTTAGTAATTCAGAACAAATCTGTCCCTCTGACCATGAGAGACCTCATAGCTTTATAAATTTCCCAACCAAAAAGAATACCAAGCCTAGAAAGACAACTTATTTTTAAATTTAGAAAGTATAAATTCTCAACTAAGAAAATTGACAATATAGAGAGCGTGAGTTAGGAAAATAAATACCATTCAGAAATTCCTGCACAAGTTCAACAGCAGATTTTACTTCCAGAGGCTCAGGCCATTCGGTTACACCAGTCCGCAAACCATCAGCCAAAACCTAAGGGAGATTAAAAAAAAAGAAATCCAAAAAATTTTTAGCAAAAAAAAAGATAGTTTAATCAGTAGGAATATATTTAATAATAATACCAGTCATTATAACATTTCTTGAACATTTTACCATGTCAGGAACAGTTCTAAGTGTTTTATATATAGAATGGTATTTAATCCTCACAAAACCCCCATCAGACAGATATTACCATCATCCCCCATTTCACTGAGGCCAAGAGAGGTAAAGTAACTTGCTCAAGATCACACATTACGACAGTGCCAAGACACACACCCAGCAGTCTGGTACCAAAGATGGTGTTCTAAGGGTGATGCCATGTGCGTCAGCGCTACCGAGGATTCCAGACTAATGAACCTGCCCTGAAGACACTTGTAATTTTGGTTAAAAAGGACTGATAATCCAGGTGCAAGAATCAGGAAAGAAAAAACATGAAACCGAATGGAAGTTTATATAAAAATAATATAAATGTATATGCCTACACATACAGTATCTACACCAAAGGAAAGGGAGACCAGAATAGCCAGGGGCACAATGTGAAACATCAGCTGCACGCAAATGTGGGGATAGGAGCTGCAGAGCAGGGACGGAGCATGGAATAACATGAAGAGGGTGGGGCGAGGTCCAGCCGTGGTGGAGAAAACACCTATGGAACAGTGGGAAATGAGATTAGAAGGAACAGGGGCTAGACATATCTTAAAACCTGAAAAGATTTTTTTTTTTACTTCATATGAAAGACAACAGCCATTGTCGATTTTTTGGCAGGAACATGACATGATCAAGTTGTTAAGAATTTGTGTTAGAAATACCCAGGATGGATTCTAAGGAAAAGAGAAAGTACAATGTTTCTCAATAGAGGTGATATTATTTTCCACCCCCGCGGGGGGGGCGGTCTTTGGAAAAATGTGCAGATAGTTTTGGTGTCACAATGACTGGGGGTACAAGGGCACTTTGAGCATTTAGTTTGGTAGGGGCCAAGGATGCTAAGCATCTTGCAATGTGTACAATGGTCCCAAAGCACAAAAAATGGTTCTGCCTAAAACGCCCATAGTGTCCCTGTTGAGAAACAATAAATGACCATTAGAGTGGTCCAGGAGGCAGGTGATAAGGGCTTTAACTAAGATGGGCAGTGAGAAAAACCTTAAAGGAAAAAAAGAACAGTTTATTAGAAAGGGAGGGAGAAAGGAAGGGACATGTAGAAAAAATAAAAGAAAAAATCCTAGCTATTTACAAAAATACAGGGGACTGAACTTGGAAGAGATTATGCCATCTAAGATTGTGTGAATTCATAAGGGAGGTTATCACAAAACATGGACTTTCAAGTCAGATGGACAGGCATGCGTTTGAATGACAGACATGTATTTAAATCAGGTCTTCCACTTAGCAACTGCTGATGTCTCCAGCAAAATAACTGATCCAATCGCTTCTCGGCCTTTTGGCTAAGATCAAGTGCAAAATAACTGATCCATCCAGCACCACATGCTTGGCACACAATGGCAGCTTCTAGTTGTGGTGGTTATGATGAAGGATAGTTGGAAGGCAGACAGGCAGGGACAAGGGGCCCTGCCGGTCCCTGCCGTAAGAGGAAACCACCCTTAAAAGGATTTTACACCACCTTGGAAGGAGCCCTCCACTCTTTCCCATGTGATAGATAGAGGACAAAAACCTGATTGGATGACACGGGCAGGGAGGGTTAGTCAGATTAAAACAGCCAGCTAACAAGCCCATAAAAATCCCTAGATTGAGAAACTCTGGTGGCAACCTTCTCAGGTCCCCTCCCTCTTTGGGAGCTTTGTACTACCACTCAATAAACCTTGCTTTGCTGCCCACCACTCTGTCTGTTACCTCTTCATTCTTCAAAGCAGCGTGACCAAGAACCAGAGCACGGAAGGAGAAAAAATCCTTCCGTGTTAGTGTGGTGGTAGCAATAGTTCTTACTAAACTAAAATAGAAGGTTTCTAGCCTGGGAAATTGAAGGAAGAGTGGAACCACAGACAGAAATGGGGTGGGTGCTTTCTCTGAGAGGATCTTGTCTGGAGAAGATCTCAAGTTTCATTTTGGAAATACTGTTTGAGGCAACAGCCCTCTACTCAACTGGGAAATAATTTGGTGGAAGTGGGAAGGAAGGGGAATGGTATCAGCTTGAAGAAGAGAGTCTGGAGTTCCCTCAGAAAGGCATTAGCCAAATCACTGAGTGACAAGCTCTCTGCCAGGGTGTGGAGAGAGAAGAGCAGAGACATGAGAAGTGTGATGGAAGCCCACAGGAAAGGTCCTGAAAGGGGAGCTTTCCAGAGAGGAAGTTGAGAAAAAAATACCAAGTTGTATACAAACAGGGAAATAATAATGGGAGGTGAAATATTAGAAATGCTTGGTACTGTGCTAGATGCTGCAGGCAGAGTACCTGTCACTCAAGTCTAGGAGGGGAGACAGAGAAGCAAACAGACCACTGTGTTTGATAAACACTCTGACAAGAGGTGTGAGTAGAGTGCTCTCGTAGCACAAAGCACAGGCAGCATTAGCCATTCTGGGGGATCAGTGCAATCATTCTAGGTGAGGATGTCACAGAGAGTTCATCCAGCACTGGGGTGGGGGGGGGGCATGCTAGGGAGAGCAAGACGCACTCACCACAAAGTGACAGCGTGACAGGACCAAGGTACAATAAGCAGGCCAGGGTTAGGGGTTCAGTGGGAGTAGAAGTAGGGTATGAGATTAAGCTAAAGAAATAAGTAGGAGCTAATAAGAACACGAAAAGATGATCAAAGTCAGTAAGCCATCAGGAAAATGCAACTCAAAACCATGAGATACCACTTCATCCCCACTAGGACGGTGGAAATAATTAATAATAATCATAATAAAAAGGCAATACCAAGTGTTGACAAGGATATGGAGAAACTGGAACACACACTGTTGGCAGGAATGTAAAATCGTACAGCCACTTTGGAAAACAGTTATAGTTTGGCAGCTCCTCAAAAGCTTAAACACAGTTATCACACTGACCAGCAACTCCACCCAAAAGATGTGAAAACATATGTCCCACAAAACTTGTACAAGACTGCTTATGGCAGCATTATTCATAATAGTCAAAAAGCAGAAACAACAGAATCGTCCATCAGCTGGTGAGCGGATGAATGAAATGTGGTGTAGTTGTATGATGGAATGCTATTCACCGATAAAAAGGAACAAAGTACAACAAAGTATTAACAAAGGTTAGTGGCCGCGGGGCTGCTGGGGCTGGGAGGTGACTGCTAATGGGTACGGGTTTCTTTTGTTGAAAATGCTCCAAAATTATATATGGCCACGGTTGTAAAACTCTGTAAGTATCCTAAATACCACTGAAATGTGCACTTGAAACAAGTGAATTTTATGGGATATAATTTATATCTCAATAAAGCTGTTAAAAAAAAAGTAAGTAGGGCAGTGACTGGATGTAAATGGTTCTCTATGCCAGGCTAGGACATTTCGAATTTCTACTGCATTAAAATGAGGCACCCCCTTGAGATTCAGTTTGTAGAATAGAGTAAAACTCACTGAGACATAAAATTCTTGAAACACATGCTCACTAATCCTTAGCATGAATCAAAATCCCAGTTATCAATAAGCAGATTATACGTGCATTTGGAATAAATTGGCAGCTGACCCACCTAAAAAGAGGGGAATCCATTGTATGAATAGAAACTGAATACTCCAGTAAAAAGGGGGAAGAAGTGCGGCTCTTAACTAATGCTCGCTGTGATTATAAAGACAACTACCATGCAGTAAAATCATACTGTCCAAACTGCCGAGAGTATCTACTGAATTCATAACATTTGGAACAAATTTTGAACACAAAACAAAGTAACAGTGATATTAACAAACCTTTTTATGAAAACATAAAATTTAATATAAGTCACAAATTCCAGAAGGATACTCACAAGGAGAAATTTCAGTTCTCTTTGAAGATGATTCAAAGGACCTCTGGGTTCTCCTGATTCCACTTTAATATTCTAAAAAGTTGCCAAAGTCAGTTTTCACTGGTAATGCCATCTTCTCTGCATAGTGGTCACAGTTACTTGCATTTCAAACTCCCCACACATTAAAAAATATATTTCATAAAGCATTAATGAACTGAATAAGCAGGGTAATACTCCATTTAGAACATCACCCCCAGAGATACCATAGATCCTGTCCATCCCAATAAGTAACCTAAACTCATGCTACCAACCCCTCTCTCCATTCCCTGATTGTGCCTACCTGGAACAACTGCTCTCCTCATACCCTCTTCTCCTGCCCTTTCCCACTGAATTTCCAAAAGAAAGTGGGAGAAATGTAAATAAATACATCTTAAGACCCAATGACAAACTGAGCATTACCACAGACCAAAAATAACCACCCCCTAATAAATATGTTCAATAGACTCCTAGCTAAACCAACAATGTGCTGTCTTAGCCAGAGGTCAAAGTTTTAGGAACTTTCTAAAACCTTAAAAAAAAAGGGGGGATAAAAGGGGAAAAAAAGTAAATGCCATTGTATGTAAATTCCTATTGCAGGAAAAGAAAAGCATTAAGAATGTAATTATCCACAATCCCACAACCCCGAGGGAACCACAGTTAACACTATCCAGGCATCTGTGTACACGGTTTTCAAAAACATAGTTGAGATCCTACTGTATATATTATTTCATCTATTTTCCTTTTGTTTGCTTAACAATAAGCATTTCTTACTATCATTAAAGACACTTTAAATCATGATATTTAAAGAATGTATAATATTTCACCAGGGAAATCTATGTTAAGCATTTCCCTATTGAACAGTCAGGTTTGTTTTTAATATTTTGGACACAGTTATTATAACTGTGTAGAATATCTTTGCACATATATTTTTGCTACCAATTCCAATTAACTTAAGACAGATTCTTAGAAATGTAAATATAAGGTGAAAAGCCTTAATAGTATAATGGTTCTTGATGTGTTGCCAATATTTGCAATCTTTTAATAGCAGAAATAAGTCACTCCGATGATTTCACTTGGATCCCAACTCAAGAGACTTTCTAAAGTTACATAATGGCCACTGTGGGCAACTGACAGATGAGGTCACCTCACCAAACCTCCATTGGCTGCCCCAGTGAGACTTCAGGAGTCAGCTGGGCCTCTCAGAACCATCCAGCAGTGCTGGGGCTGGAAGTATGCAGCACCAGCAGCAAGCAAGTTAAAAGTAAATCCACACTGAATAAACTCAACACAAAATAGGGTTCACTCTTACCAGAGCTGCAGTTGAAGAAAGTGGGGGGATTTGAAGAATCTCATCCACAGGACTCCAGGAAATATCCAAAGTGATTGTAGTTTGTGATGCAGCAAGTGTGTCATCCAAGGCTGTGGACTTAAAGAGCTCATACTGGGCGGAGCCCCTGGCTGTTACCTGAAAAGAGCATATCCGCCCACCATTAGCTACGCTTTCATGTGGCCAGAGGCCCGTTATCAAAACTACCTTGGTTTTTTCCCCAGCAGAAGAAAAAGTGCCATACTTTTATCCCAAATGGAAAAATAAGACAATTCTTTTTCATTACAAAGACTGGCTAAAAGGCAAGGCAGAATCTATTTTTAGTCATTAGCTGAAATGAAAATCAACACAAAGATTTTGATACTACCAAAAAAACACAAACAAACAAACATGTAGTCATATTAGGAGTGAAAAAAAAGCCACTAAACTAGGGAGGCAGGTCCATAACAGTCTGAAGAAACTAATGTGAGCAGAAGAGAGAAATACCTACCGTAGATAAGTGATGTCTTTTCTTATGTGAACTTTTCAGGTCTTCAAGATTTACAGAGTAATTTTTATCAGCTGTAAGACATAAAAGAAAAAATAATTTTAAAGGTACAATTCAAAATTAGACTGTTAGAATTGGAAAATGACAACCCCTCAAATTCTGAGGGTACCACAACTTCACAGTAGTAACAGAAGACATTAAATTTTAAGTCCAGATGACATCTTGACAAAGGAAGGAAAGTGGAACAGAGGTCAATACTGAAACCATGCCCCATTGAGTTAATGAGACTGAAACACAGCAGAAAATTTAAAGCTGGTTTTCAGAGACCTGTTTCTCTCTAATCAGCTACTGTGTCTTTTCAGACACCCCATTGGCTGTCTCTGCAGAAGCCTGGACTCAAGGTCAACTGATATGGCTCCAGCCTATGAACAAGCAAGGCTCTGCATCCCTTACCCGAGATAATGAGCCCAAGACCCCGTCATCCAGTTTCCACGGGCTCATGGAGCATGCCCATAGTTCCTTCTCCTTGTCCTCAGAGAACCTCCTGGTGTCCGAGACTGAATCATGCCTTGTTCTGGTGTTAATCTCCACCCCAAAGTGAACATGGGATAGATGTTACCTATGTTTGCCCAATGTGCATGCTCCATCTTTCCTCATGAATAGTCACAAACTTCCCCCTCCCTTTTCATCAATATGTATGCAGTCTCAACCCCTCTGATCATAAAACTTGCTCAGTCAGGAAGACAGATTTGGGAATACTCCCCTGCCTGCCCTCTAGATGGGCTGCCTTTCTGATTACACAACTTTCTCTGCTTCAAACCTAGTGACTCAGAGATTTGGTTTACTGAACATTGGATACAAATCTGATTTCAGAGTTTAGTAAGAATCCTACTACCAAAAATATAATTAAACATCTACTACAGGATTGGAATTACATTGTCATTATATTCCATTTTTTTATCCTCCAATGAAAATTTCCAAAAATACACACATATAAACCAAATGAAACCCAAATAAAACTAACAAGGCCATAAACTCCTGTTCAGATTTCTGGAGATCTGTTTCTGGAATACCTCCTATATGCTGCAAGTTACACACCAGAGTAGGTTCCTGGCGGCTAACAAGTTCCACTGTGTGCACTTCCCTCTTCACAATATGTTTTCAGTAAAAACCACAACACAGTAACAGTACAAATAAATAAATGCACACCCCCTCCATAAAAGTAAGCTCTCACCTTTACAACTGACTGTATATAAGACAATTCCTGTAATGCTGTTATTTGTGGTGACAAGCTCAGCTCCCAGCCAACAGGTCCCTTCAGGATCTGAACTGTCACACCTTACCCATAGGGGAGGAAGGGCAGTAACTGGATGATTAATCTTCAAGTGGGTCATATTAGGATTGTGAGCCATGGTGTAAAGTCCAATTAACTGCCTTGAAAACAAGAATAGGAAGAATAAACTGTAAGTAAAAACTATCCATCAATCAAGTTTTCTTTTCCAAAGATATCATGAAGGGCATCTATGATTCTGACACTGATCTTACTTCTGGTCACCAACTAAGATTCTGCACCCAACTCTAATGTGTGCGGTTTTTCCTCATACCAAGTAATTTTCTGACACCAGCTGGGTGTCCTACAATTCAACCCAATTCTGACTCTATCTACCCAGAGACAGCATCAGATGCCACAGGTTAAGGGTTCAGTCCTACAAGACACACCCCACCCCATCGCCACCCACCTTTAGATGCCAAAGGCAAGTCCAGGTTGTCACCTGTGCTTCTGACTGACCAGATATAGATCAGAGGTTCCAACAACCTCCCCCTTGGGTTCAACTGATTTGCTGGAGCGACTCACAGAACTCAGAAAAGCACTTTACTTACTAGATCACTGGTTTATCATAAAAGGTTGTAACTCAGGAAAAGCCAGATGGAAGAGATGCACAGAGCAAGGTATGGGGAAAGAGTGTAGAGCGCCCATGCCCTCTCTTAGTGAGCCACTCTCCCCAAATCTCCACCTGTTCACCAACCCAGAGGTTCTCCAAACACTCTCCTTTTGGGTTTTTATGAAGCCTTAGTCACATAGGCATGAAATGATTAATCACCGGCCATTGGGGACTGAACTCAACCTCCAGTCCTCCTCCCCTCTCTGGAGGTAGGTCTAACCCTCTAATCACAGGGTTGGTACCCTGACAAACCCCAGCCCCAAGCCACAAGTTACCTAGGGGCTTTCCAAAAACCACCTAATTTTTTTTAAAAGATTTATGTGAGAGAAAGAGCGCATGTGTGCATGTGAGCAGGGGGAGGGGCAGATAGAGAGGGACAGAAAGAATCAATCTTCAAGCAGACTCCCCACTGACCACAGAGCCTGATGCAGGGCGGGATCCCAGGACCCTGAGATCATGACCTGAGGGGAAAATAAGAGCCGGCCACTCAATAGACTGAGCCACCCAGGTGCCCCCAAAAGCCACCTCACTAACATAACCAAAAACACCTTCCTCTTTCTCCTCACTTAGGAATTTCTAAGGGCTTTAGGAACTCTGTGCCAGGAACAGTGGACAAAGACCAAATACATTTCTAATTATAAACGCCAATACCCAGTATCCCAGAAACAAAAGTCTGGAAATTAAGGGCAAAATACATAAATATTTCACCCAGTGAAGAACTGGGAGAAGGGCACACCAGGCAGATGAAGATACACGCACCTGCAAGTGATGAGAATGGAGCTATCTACAAGTGGGGAGTCTAATAGGGTGAGGGTAGAGGTTCAGTAGGAGGACAAGTAGGCTGCGAGATGAAGCAAAAGAAATAGGTAGGATACGTTAATTATACCTCAATAAAGCTGGGGCAAAAAAAAAGAGCCAATAAGCACATGAAAGATGCTTGAGGTCATTAGTCATTGGAATACTTAAGAAAAATGCATACTCGGGGCGCCTGGGTGGCTCAGTCGTTAAGCGTCTGCCTTCGGCTCAGGTCATGATCCCGGGGACATGGGATCGAGCCCGGCATCGGGCTCCCTGCTCGGCGGGAAGCCTGCTTCTCCCTCTTCCACTCCCCCTGCTTGTGTTCCCTCTCTCGCTGTGTCCCTCTCTCTCAAATAAATAAAATTAAAAAAAAAATAAAAGAAAATACACAGTGAAGTATTTAGAGGTAAAGGAGCACAGTTTCTCCAACATTCTCTCAATATTTCATTTAAAAAAATGTGTGTGGGTGAAGGAGCATGTTGTAAAGGTGGCAGAGTGGGGGGGGACGACGGGGAGGGGGAGGAATGAGAGAGAGTCACGACGCAGATGCAGTGACATGTAAATAACTGGTGGATCTGGGTCAAGGGCACACAGAAGTTCTTGTGCTATTCCTTCAACTTTTCTGTAAATTTGAAAGTGTATCAAAATTAAAAGTTGCCCTAAAATGTATCTTGAAATTTTTCAGGGATGAAAACTTAATTTATTACCAACGGATGTTCAACAAAGGAAGTTCTAAGGGATTGTACTTCAGAAAGGAAATACAATAACCCCAAAAGGAAGGTTCCAAATGCAAAGCAAGGCAATGATAAGCGTATGGATAAATCCAAACAAACACTGGATGGAGAAAACACCACCAATAAATTATGTTTAAGTTGGGGAGAAAAGAAAAAAGGCCAAATATGACTTAAAATCAAGAAGCCATAAAGACTGATAAATTTAACTACAGAAAAATGTTACAAGCTTCTACCTAGCAAAACAAACAAAAACCACCATGAAGGAGAGTCACTTTGTGAATATTATTAGAGTCCTTATGGTCCAACGTTATTATTTATATGACTATATCCTCCAGAACTCCTTGACGGCAATAACTTTGGTTGTGGAGGCGAGGGGGGCCAGCTGGGGAGAGCTGCCCGCAGCTACACAGCAGGGAGGCAGGAGGTGAAGCTGGCCAGGCAGATGGGGGCGGCAGGCTTTCTACCAGGGGCACTGCTGGCATCGGGGTGGGATAATTCCTCCTCGTGCAGGAGAGCCCAGTGCACTGCAGGACGTTCACTAGCCACAGCCCCAGCCAATCACTCCCCTCAGTCACTGTAACAACCAAAAAGTATCCCTGCATATTTCCAAATGCCCACTGGTAATGGCTCCCCTGGTGGAGGAGCTCTGGACTGGACAGTGAAGGTTCTTATGTGTCATTCAAAAGAAATTTGGATTGTATCATGAAGCAACAAGAACCAGCGAAGGATTTTTAAGCAAGGAAGCAACACAATCAGGCTTTCAGTGACTTATGAAGATCTCTGGCAGCAGCAAGGAAGAAAGACTGGAGGGGAACCAAATACAACGAAAACAATTGAGAAGCAAGAACAAACAGTACGGGGGAGTAGAGAAAGGGACCATGACATGGTCTTCTTGGTCATGCTTGGGACACCTATAGGATATTCAAGTAAAGCTATCCCTGGAGATCGGGTATCATGTCTAGGGAGAGGGGGAAGAAGGGAGGGAAGGACCTGGACTAGATACATATTTTCCCCCCAATGTTGGTAAGAACACTTTCATTTAAATCCTAGCCTCCAGCCCTCCTCCTAGCCTGATGCTAAGAAAAACTTACCTTGCTCTCCCAACTGGTAAAGCAAGTGGTCCGACATTCTCCCCAGTAGAGAAATCAGAAATAACCGTTTCTTCACATTGTGGTTCTTCAACATGACTTGTTTCTTCCTTGTCCAAAGGCTTAAAAAATATTTTTTAATTATTTAGTCAGGTAAAAGAGCACTCACCAGTCAATTCTTCACTATGCTAGAACATAAGGTACTGGTTTCCAAACCCTTAAGCACAAATGACTGGGTGACGGCAAGAATCACAGCTACAAACCAGTCTGGTACCAACAAATCTTGCCATCAGAAGCATTTCCGCTGTCCTATAATAAGATAATGATCTAAGTTGCTACTGATAGAGGAAGCATCTGATGCCATTAGAAAAGGAAGTGCTCCAACATGTATAAAATGATGAACCAAAGACAAAACACCAAAAGAAACCCATGGGAGACTCCTGATTTTTCACTCCCAGAACTCAAAGGGCCACAGCCCTTACTCCTTAAATCTACTCTTAGGACTAGCAGCTCTCATTCGTGTTACAGGGTTCTGAAATCTATGTGTTTCTAGTATCTCCATGTTTAAGTGGTCGTAGTTCAGCCTTGCCAATAATAACAATAACCCCAAGAGTTAACATTTCCTGAGCATTACTACGTACAGCTATTGTTCTAAGTCTTCTGTTACTTTTCATAAAAACCCTGAAATCGATACTATTATAACTTTTTTTAAAAAGATTTTATTTATTTATTTATTTATTTTGGGGAGGGGGGGCAGAAGGAGAGGGCTCGATCTCACGACCCCAAGATCATGACCCAAGCCAAAACCAAGAGTGGAATGCTTAACCAACTGAGCCACCCAGGTCCCCCATTCACTCTGTTTTATAGGTGGGAAAACTGAGGTAGCAAATGGCTAAATAACTTGCCTCGAATCACAGCCGGTGAATGGCAACCGCAACATTTGAAATCTAGACAGTCTGACTTCAAACCTCAGGATCTTATCCATTAATTAAGCTCTTCAGGCAGTAAATACTCTGCCTGCTTAATAGGTATCAGACCCAGATATTTCCCCAACTTTGAATTTCTTTCGCCAGATCACAGTCCCTTCTAGGCCTGGCTTTCCAAAGAGTTCCTAGAACGGGTGGTACCCAAAATGTCATTTTTTTCTTCTGTTTAATACCCATCTACCTAAAATTCATGCTGTAAGCTCTACTGATCTTTGCAGAGACAATGGCCATTTTGACTCCTCCTCGTCCAAAAATGCCAGCATCCCAGTGAATTCCAGGGACCTTCCCACAAGGGCAAGCTGTGTCCTCACTGGGATCCCAACCACATTCTCAGATCCCCCTTGGCTCATTCTTATCTCTTCGTAGGTGGCTCATCTGAACATCTTAATTTTTTCGGCTTTTGCTCTACATACATTTTCCCTTTTCCCCATAACAAAAGTCTAAATTCAACCACATAACTCACCTATAATTATTTCCCAAGCATCTGTCCACTATCGATAAGCAGTAATAACACTCCTTCATTAGGGGCACCTGGGTGGCTCAGTCAGTTAAGCATCTGCTTTTGGCTCAGGTCATGATCCCAGGCTCCTGGGATGGAGTCCTGCATCGGGCTCCCTGCTCAGAGGAGAGTCTGCTTCTCCTTCTACCCTTCCCCACCGCTTGTGCTCTCTCTCTCTCAAATAAATTAAAAAAATCTTAAAAAAAAAAAAACCTTTCATTAACATAAAAAACAAAGTTGCCCCCCTTCCTCAAAAGGAGCTATTGTATGCATTCAAATGAAAAGCTCCCTGTTCTTTCACCAGACAGCATGAGGGTCCTAAAGCAAACAGAAGAGTTCCTTGTAAAAGTACCTCCACTTTCCCCTATTAGAGTCTGTTCCAATCCACTTCAGGAAAAAGGTAGTCAAAGGAATGTGTTCTGGCCCCAAAGCAACTGTATAACCTGACAGCATTATCACCACTCAGTAAAAATCACTATAATTGCTCTGCCAAAACACCATAATTAAAACACAAAGGTTGGGCGCCTGGGTGGCTCAGTTGGTTAAGCGACTGCCTTCGGCTCAGGTCATGATCCTAGAGTCCCGGGATCGAGTCCCACGTCGGGCTCCCTGCTCAGCAGGTTTCCCTCTGACCCTCTTCCCTCTCGTGCTCTCTCTCTCTCAAATAAATAAATAAAATCTTTAAAAATAAATAAATAAAAATAAAACACAAAGGTTTCAGGCTGGAATTATAAAATGATGCAAAAGATAAGAAGTTTTCTCTTACATTTCACAAACAAAAATTAAAAAGTACAACTTCATGAGTCATAGCTACTTATGCTGTGCTGTTCAACACAACAGGCCCTGGCCACACGCAGCTACTGAGTACTGGAAATGGGGCCAGACCAAATGAAGATGTAAGTGTAAATACACACCAGATTTTAAAGATGCAGTATGGGGGGGAAAAAACCTTAAAATATCTCATTAATGATTTTTATATTAACTATGCATTGAAATGGTATTACCAGATATATGAGACTAAATAAAAAGCATTATTAAACCTAATTTCAGACAATCCCACTCCTCGGTATTTACCGTAAAGAAAAAACACGCTCACGCAAAAATCTGTACAAAAATGATTAACAGCAGCTCTATTCATGATCACTGGAGACAGAAAATAGCCCAAATGTCATTCAAAGAGTGACTAGATAAACAGTGGTACATTCATACCACAGAATCTACTGAGCAATTACAAGATTAATTGGATTAATTGGATTAATCTCAAAGGCATTGTACAGAGTGAAAGAAGCCAGACTCAAAAGGTTATACACTCTATGATTCCATTCACGACATTCTTAAAAAGATAAAACTACACCAAGGGAGAAGAGATCAGTGGTTGCCAGGGGGATTTTAAAGGGATAGCATGAGGGAGTTGTTTGGGGTGATGGAACTGTTCTGTGCCCTGATTGTGGTGGTGATTACCAGAATCTATACATGTGATAAAATTCAAAGTGGACAACAAAAGAAAAAAGTCAATTTTACTGTATGATAATTAATTTCACTTTTTTTTAAATCAGGCTACTACAAAATTTTAAATTACCTATACAGTTCTCATTATATTTCTATTGGACACCACTGTATTTACTTCTAAAAGAATTAGAATCCACTTTCACTAATTAGCTGATTTAAAAAAATGTGCACATTTGAGATCATTCCCAATAAACTGAATTTGGCTATTAGGAATTAAACAAATACAGGGGTACCTGGCTGGCTCAGCTGGTGGAGGGTGTGACCCTTGATCTCGGGGTTCGAGCCCCACATTGAAGATAGAGATTACTTAAAATCTTAAAAAAGAAAAAAAAAGAATTAAACAAGTGCAAAGCCCAAGCACTACTTACCAATTTCTCCACAATGAATACTACGTCATTTTCATTTAGAATATTTTTTAAAGGGTTTGGTTGACCTTTGCTGATCAACTGCACTTGAATATCAGCCTATTAAAAATAAAGTCAAGCAGTTATATATACACACATATATATTAGTACAAATATTTCAACACATAAAGACTAATTTTACCTTTACCCCTGAAACAAATAATACATTATGTTACTAAAAAAAAAAAGACTAATTTTACAGAAGCAACTGAAAAAGAGAATTTGAACAAGACATAATGTTCTAAAGAGAAGAGTTCATTTCTTCTTTGCCATGTTGTTTTTTCATGTTTAGACAAACCTAGCTCTATTCACTTCTACACATGCTTCAAGGCCTCCCTAAAGTGCACCCTGCCTTATAGAACCTTCTTTTGATTAGGATCACAGAGACAGCCTCTTCCTCGGCTCATATACTGGACTTACTATAACGTACCATATAATTAGCAGTTTATAAATATGATCTTTTATTCTGATGGTACTATGGAATTTAGAACTTTTATCAATCTCTAGGAACTATGTATTTTTTCATTCCAATTACAAGCATGTTCATTGCAGAAAGGTCTGAAAATAGGTAGCTAAGCGATTTTAACTCACATATAATTCCACGAGCGAGGATAATCACTACTGTTATTAGGATGGTTGGCATCTATTTTGTCAGATCTTTTTCCATAAATAAATCTACTTAAGTAGAAATGTATTCAGTATTGGGATGCCTGGATGGCTCAGTCGGTTAAGCGTCTGCCTTCAGCTCAGGTCACGATCCCAGGGTCCTGGGATCGAGTCCCACATCGGGCTCCTTGCTTGGCAGAGAGCCTGCTTCTCGCTCTGCCTGCTCTGCCTGCCATTCCCCCTGCTTGTGCTCTGACAAAAAAATAAATAAAATCTTAAAAAAAAAAAAGGAAGAAATGTATTCAGTATTTAGATATCTAGATAGGATTTTGCTTAATAAAAATATGACATTCTGTATCATACACTTCTTTCCACCGATTAAGTGTTCTTTGGCTCTACCATCATATAATTAATCCCATTTTGTTCAACATTTGGATACTTTTTTTTTTTAAAGACTTTATTTATTTATTTGACAGAGAGAGACACAGCAAGAGAGGGAACACAAGCAGGGGGAGTGGGAGAGGGAGAAGCAGGCTTCCCGCCGAGCAGGGAGCCCGATGCGGGGCTCGATCCCAGGACCCTGGGATCATGACCTGAGCCGAAGGCAGACACTTAACGACTGAGCCACCCAGGCACCCCAACATTTGGATACTTTTAAGTTATCTACTATAATAGACAACTAATAATAGACATCCTTGAATTACTTTCTTAAGATGAATAGTTAGAAACACACCGACTTTGTCAAATTGCCTTGCAAATATGCTGCCCCCACATATTTGCATTCCCATCACTTATAGCAACACAGAGTATTTTCCCTGTTTATTTTTACCATTTCACAGCAAAAAATAGTGTCTTGTTTGTTACTGTTTTTTTCATTTATTTGATTACTAATGAAGGTGACCAGTCTCTCAAAGGCTTATCATTGACAAATAACTCTCATTACCTGAATCCGTTTCGTTTCTCAGTTTGGATCCTAAAGCATTTAGATACCAAGTTCAGAAAGCAAAGGATGTTGTGTTATTATAATCTACTAGGTTCTTGAGTTTCAAGTACTGTTGTGGACTGAATATGTCCCCGAAAGACATGGTGAAGTCCTAACTCCTGGTTCCTCTGAATGTGACTTTAGAAGAAGGGTCTTGGCAAACGTAATCAAGTTGAGGATTAACTTGGACTGGGGGGGCCCTAAATCCAATGACTGATGTACTTATAAGGACGGAAAGATTTAGAGACATAGACACAAAAGGATGCTATGTATTGACAGCAGCAGAAATTAGACTGATGTGTCTACAAGCCAAGAAACTCCAAGGATTGTTGGAAACCACCAGAAACTAGGAAGAGCTGAGGAAGGATCCTTTCCTAGGGCCTTCAATAGGAGCGTGGCCCTCCTGACACCTCCATTTCAGAGTCCTAGTCTCCAGAATTGCAACAGAATATATTTCTGATGTTTTAAGCAAACCAATTTGTGGTTACAGCAGCCCTAGGAAACTAATATACATATCAAGCAAGAATTCCAATGGGGAAGGATTAGTACATTTACCTAGATATACTTAATTCCTGAGTTTGGTTAGTGAAAATTCAAACAGTAAGAAATAACTCTACTTGTAATTTTCTTTCTGGGCTTACTTATTTATGTCTTTTGTCTATTCTTCTATTACAGTTGTCATTCTTTGATTTTTAAGAATTTTTTATGTGTTATATATATGTGATATTAATGTTTATCTTATATGACTCTTTCTCTCCAGCTTATTTGTCTTTTAGCATACAATTAATTTTAATTCACTAATTATTTTATAGATTAAACCATATGGGGACTTTAGCTATGGAACACTTGGCATATATTAGATGCTTAATAAATCCATGAATGTTTATAGCTTTATTCATAACTATCAAAAACTGGAAACAATCCAAGTATCCATCAGCTGGTAGGTGGATAAGTGTCGCACACCTATACAATGGGATACTATCCAACAATAAAATGGAATGAACTACTGATACACACAAAACATAGATGAATCTCAAATGCATTACATTCCTTGACAGAAGTCAGACCCAAAAGACTACATACCATGTGATTTTATTTATATAACATTCTGGAAAAGGCCAGGGACAAAGGGCTGATTATAAAGGGACATGAGATTTTTGGAGGTGACAGAAGTGTTCTAGATCTTGATCACGGGAGCGGTTATATGACTGATGCATTTGTAAAAACTCATAGAACTGTACTCTAAAAGGGTGGGACTCTAAACTAACTTCAATGAACCCAACTTTTAAAAAAGCAGACTGTTAGGATTACTGAGTTGTGTTTAAAAATGAAATAAATTGTTCATACCTCATAGATAAATGGATCTTTATGGATTCCTTTCTTTTCTTCATCAAACTCCCTGAAATGAAGAACTACACATGAAAAACAGAGCTATAGTATTCTGACATTTAAATTCAGTAGTCACCACTTTACCTCTGTAGGACACCAGTGAGAAAAGCAAAGCGCAAAGTAGTCCTGGCAGCCCTAAGGCATGGTTGGGAAGAGGCGGGGGGAAAGCAGAAAAAGAATATGAGAAGGCATGCCTGCATGGCTCAGTCGGTTAAGTGTCTGCCTTTGGCTCAGGTCATGATCCCACTGTCCTGGGATCAAGTCCCCCATAGGGCTCCTTGCTCAGCAGGGAGCCTGCTTCTCCTTCTGTATGCCACTCCCCCTGCTTGTGTGCACGCACTCACTCTCTCTCTCTGACAAATATTAAAAAAAAAAAGAAGAATATCAGAAAAAAAGAGATGTGGTAGAAATTAATAGAGACTGCTGCCCACAACTGGGCACAACAGCTTCCCAGAGGCAGCAGGAAATCAGGTTACCTACCTCTACTCTCATCTTCTAAAACATATCATCAGTTACTATTAAGATGTAATTTACCATGTAACTTATGGGAAGTAAAAATCACTGGATTCTGTCTGCCACTGAATCAGTGGGTAACCAAGAAAAAGTTATTTAAGGTTCCTAGTCCTAGATTTCTATGGCTAAAATAGAAACACCTATCCTCACTCTATTTTTATGAGCTGTCACTAAAAACTTAGTAAATTTGATAACGTTAAACAACTTCCTTTTAAAAATGTAAGCACAAAACTCTCGGGTATCATTTAATAATTGTTTCATTCAAGGAAGTTCTAAAATAGTCATCCCAAAGCGTGTGAACTATAAACCATTAAACATACCAAAATGCACATGTCTGATATATACTCTGAAAGAGACACAGTCTTTAGATACCCAAAGAAGCCCAACGGAATTGTTTCAGGATACCATTTATTATTTGATCTACTCTGACTTACTGAAATAAAAACAGGAGAGCTAGGCCTATGATTCACTTTTGCCATTTTGGACAAGACAGTGATTTATTCTTAAAGATATTTGTCCTTTGTGTATAACTGAGGAACGTTATTCAATTATTCAACAATCATGTATATTATAGGCAGGCACTCTTCCTAGATGTCCAGGATATACAACAAAAACATAGTCCCTGGTTCATAGTCTTGACTGAAGTCCAAAGAGTAAGCCAACAGTTAGAATACAGGGTGATGGGTGCTCCCACAGAGGTGAGTGCAGGGTACTGTGGAGGCACAATGGAAGACATGTTGCCATACCACTAGAACTTTATCCTGAAAACCAAGAGGAGCTCACTGAAAGATTTTATTTTAAAGATTTTATTTAGTTATTTATTTGAGAGAGAGAGCACAAGAGAGAGCAGGGGGGAGGGCAAAGGCAGAGGGAGAAGCAGGCTCCCTGCTGAGCAAAGCCCCAAAGTGGGGCTCAATCCCAGGACACTGGCATCATGACCTGATCAGACGCTTAACCGACTGAACCACCCAGGCGCCCCACTAAAAGATTTTAACTGGGAAATACCTCTCTGACCATGGGATGGAGGGCATAACCTTGGAGGCCAGGAAAATAGCTGTGAATAACTGACAATGGCCTGAACAAAAGCAGTAGAGATAGAGGGGAAACAAGGGCACCAGTGACTGATATAGATGGAATGGGGGTTGGGGGGGGCTGGAAAAGAGAAGTGAGAATCTTGGATTTGGAACTCTTAATTCAGAGTTGGGATTCAGAAGCAGAGTGTCAGGTTGCTGGGAAAAGATGAATTCGGTTTTGCAGATATTGAGTTTGAGGTCCTGTGGAAACTTCCAGTAGGCAACTGGATGCACAGGCATTGTGAAGGACTCAAGAGAAGTAAAAGAGACTTCTGTGCTTACAAGTAGAGAAAAAGATTAAGCTCCGTGAAATAACTGGGAATTATAAATGGGGTCTAAATAAAACTGTATCAATGGGGAACTGGTTAAATAAACATAAGACAGACATAGGATGAAATATTGCAAAGCAGTTAAAAACAATGAGATAGATCTATAAGGTGTCATACTAAAAGCCATCCAGGACATTAATAAAGAACCTAGTGCTCTGTCCATAATGTTCAAAAAATTGTCAAGCATTATTACGTTTTTTTAAAGATTTTATTTATTTATTTGACAGAGAGAGAGCACAAGCAGGGCGAAGCGGCAGCCAGAGGGAGAAGGAGAAGCAGCCTCCCCTGCAGAGCCAGAAGCCCAATGAGAGGCTCTATCCCAAGACCCTGGGATCATGACCTGAGCCAAAGGCAGATGCTTAACCGACTGAGCCACCCAGGCGCTACATTACTACTTTTATAAGAGGAAAAACAGCAATAAAGATAAATAATGAAAAATTAGGGCATTTAGAAAATTAGGGGTTAGATTACATCAGTGGTTCTCAAAGTGTGGTGTCAAGCCAGCAGCAGATTTCACCTGGAATTTGTTAGAATTCTTTGGCCCCACCCAGACTTACTAAATCAGAAACCCTGGAAATGGGGCCCAGCAATCTTGTGTTTTGACAACATTCCAGGTGACTTGATGCAAGCTCAAATTTGAGAACTGCTGGAGTAGATTTTAAAATTGGATGCAGAACTAGATGGAATCCCCTTTTGTACTAGCACTCCACTTTAAGAACAAAGTCTTAGAGCACAATGAAATAAAAGTACTTTAAAAACCCAACACACTATTACTTTATTACAACTGTAGCACAAATAATTATTCTGAATAGACAATACGTATCACACCAGAAAGGCTTTAAACAGATGAAGGATGCCAACATCTAGTTTTCCAAATCCTGAGAGGTGTCTCTAACATATCCTAAGTTCGGTGCGTCATCGGCATGAATAAAGCGCCTCGAAAAACTTGTCACCTTCCACCCCGACTGATAACGTACAGTTGTTTTCTCCTATACGAGACTACAAGCAAGCCCCCACAGGGCCAACCCCACGCTGGAGCAGATAACCGGTCTTTCCCCAACTCCCAGACCCCAGGAAAGCTGCCTTAGTCTGAAACTTAGGCGCCGCTGAGAACTGACAAGGCACTTCTCCCCAAAGCAGGGGAAAGAGGCTTGTGGCGGGGACCGAGAAATACGCCCAGGGAGAAGTGCTGCCCTCGCACCCTAGGCAACAGCAGCAGCTACAACTCACTGCAGGAGACGAGAGTAAAACTCCTCGGCAGCTCGGTTAATTCGGGACCACATCACGCCCCGATTTGACTGCAGATCCGAGGCCGCCAAACTGAACTGCGCGCCGGCTGCTGACGTCCGGGGTCATGACCCCCTCGCCGGGACTACGTTTACACCCCCCCCACACATCCGACAGGCCCCGTTTGTCCACAACGTTAATCTTTTGTTTTAGAGCACACACTGGTTTTTTTCCGTCCCAGCAGTTTTCCATTTCCGTAAGAAAAAGTTAAATAAATTGCAGTGGTTGGGGGGGGGGGGGGAAAAAAAGACACCTCGTCTCGCGAGAGTTGCCACGCCTCCTTAGGGATTATTCCACGAAAAGGAGTCCCTTGTATCTAAGGGCTTTTGTTACCAAATTACCGTATTTGTTATCAATTACCGTAATTTGATGCATGTAAAGAAATAACACGCTATTTATTATTTTTATAGAGTGGTAAAGCGATATTTTGTGTCTCTGGATTGGTTCTGAGGCGGGGCAGGTTGGCGGACGAGTTAAAGGTTACATATAGAGCGGAAGTGTTAGGCACTTCCTTTTCCTGTAGGAGCCGCCGGGTTGAGGGGAGCGTGGGCCTCTCCTCTCCCCGCGATGGTGAGTGGAACCTCTGTCTGGTAGGCTTTTCCCTGCTTTCGGGTCCCGGCAGGAATGGGTTAGGGGTTTGGGGCATAAAATCTTCAGGAGAGAAAGCGAGGAAAATGGGATGAGGGTCAAAGGCGTCTGTTTGTGGCTCGGAGCTGGGTAATGTGGCTTTACGGCAGCCATTTTAGAGGCAACGTGGGCGTCCTAGCACGGGGCGACACCAGATCGTTCTTAAGTGCAGAGGAGCCTTTGGGATTCTAGTTTTCCTTGGATCGTATAAGGTATGGGTTCTACTGACAACTTGGAAACTCTTGGGGCCTAAGGCTGAATCGAGGTGAAAATCAGTTTTGGGCCTTGTGTTTTCACATGCTATTAAATAAGGAATATTTTCGTGTTTCGAGAGAGATCTTGGGAAAGACTTGTATATCCACGTTTTTCTGAATTCTCGTCTGTGTTCATCTAAGAATCGCCTCTACAAAAGCTTCTCTTTAAAAATTGCTGTTAGGTGTCCCCTAAATCGTCGAATTCTTATCTCGTGGTAGGACTAATGTCACTTGAACTGCATTTCCACAAATAATGTTTGTTAACATGAGTTGTGTAGTGTTTTTGTGCCCTGGGGAGTTCAGTGAAAAAAAAGACAAACACTTGTGATGCTTGGATCATAATTTGAACAAAATAACACTGAAATACTGTATGGTAGTAATTGCTGTTAACATGGGGAATGGGAGTGGAGGCAGTAGTTGGGCCTTAAAGTGATGAGAGAAACTTCCCAGAAGGTGATCTGAAGGAGTGTGGGGAGGCATGCTGTGGCTCTTCAGGATGCAGACAATGATTACTGAGGCAGAAGCGGGTATGGCCCTGAGTGTAAGGACAGTGATGTCTGGAAAAGATTATGGGAGAGGAGGTCTAGCAGATTATATAGGCCATCCTCAAAACTTTAGTAGGATTATTTTCAGATGGTAAGTCTTTGGAGGAGGTTGAGCAGGAAGTAAGAGGACCAGTATTTTTGTTGGTAAGTTTCATGAGCTATGTTGGGGATGAAGGGGGCCAAGGGCAGAAATCTGAAGTAGAGCTGTGGTAGACTTTCGATCATTTTCTTTTGTACAGCCTGGGTTGAAAGTTGAATGATAAATTTTGTGGATTTTGAGGTTCTAAATGTCTTTTAAGTATAACAATTTATTGAAGTTAATAAACATGGTGTGTTGATAACAGCCTTTGTTTCAGCCCTAAGCGTTGTCTATACCCAAATTCAAATCTCATCTGTAACTCAGTTTTTAAAGTTACTGTTGAGGGGTGCCTGGGTGGCTCAGTTGGTTAAGCGACTGCTTTCAGTTCGGGTCATGATCCCAGGATGTGGGATCCAGACCCACATCGGACTCCCTGCTCAGCAGGGAGTCTGCTTCTCCCACTGACTCTCCTCCCTCTCATGCTGTCTCGAAGTCTCTCTCTCAAATAAATAAATAAAATCTTTAAAAATAAATATACTGTTGATGTGTGAGAATAGTGTCTCTGACATTGTCAACATAAGTATTTTTTTCTTTTTCCCAGGCGTGTGCTCGTCCATTGATATCTGTGTACTCCGAAAAGGGGGAATCATCTGGCAAAAATGTTACTTTGCCTGCTGTTTTCAAGGCTCCCATTCGACCTGATATCGTGAACTTTGTTCACACCAACTTGCGCAAAAACAACAGACAGCCGTATGCTGTCAGTGAATTGGCAGGTATGGATTTTTCAAGGGTTGATATTTTTTAAGACCTACTTAACAGCAGTGATGAAATTCCACTCCATTGGTCCGTGTTTCTGAATCAGCATGATTTTCCTGGATGTTCTGATGCTGTTGGTATCCTGCATAATAGTCCTAGGTTGATAGATGGTTGAGTATAGCTAAAACTTGTATTTCTTCCCATTTGCAGGTCATCAAACCAGTGCTGAGTCTTGGGGTACTGGCAGAGCTGTGGCTCGAATTCCCAGAGTTCGAGGCGGAGGGACTCACCGTTCTGGCCAGGGTGCTTTTGGAAATGTATCCTTTGTTTTACTCTGGATTGGTCAGCTCTTGTGGAATTTATCAGACTGGGCCTGGTTTATTCATGTTAGCAGTTTTGAAAATATTTCCAACATACCAATAGTGTTTAGGTCAAACATTGCCCTGGGCAGATAGGGGCTTGGCATTGGGAAGTTTTGCTTGCAATGATGTCGTAATTTGCGTCTTACTCTGTTCTCAGCGACAGTTGCCTGCTGTCAGTAAGCTGGTTCAGAAGGGTGACGAAAATTCTTACTGAGCAAGACATACCCCTTTTTTAATTCCTAAAATTTGGGAAATGTGATTCTTAACTTGGAAAATAGATGTGTCGTGGGGGCCGCATGTTTGCACCAACCAAAACCTGGCGCCGTTGGCATCGCAGAGTAAACACAACACAGAAGCGATATGCCATCTGCTCTGCCCTGGCTGCCTCAGCCTTACCAGCACTGGTCATGTCTAAAGGTTTGTATATTTTGTATTACAGGAATGGGACAAAATACCCTTTTTCCCCCCTCCACCTGACCCATTTCATTCATGTTAATAATAACTTGTGTAGATTCTATTCATCCCAAAGTCCCTGACTAAATTTCTCTCTACTAAATAATAGTTCTACTTCAATGTATAGTAAAGTCATCAGTGAATATTGTGTAATAACTGGTGAACTAATTGGAATGTGGTGATTTCGTGTATTAGAAAACTTTCCACTCAAACTTAATCATGTCCCTACTCTATTTTAAACTGTCAAAATGATGAGATTCCACTTAATTGGTCCGTGTTTCTGAAACACATGATATTTGTGGGAATTCTGATTTGGCACTTCATAGTTATTTTGCTTTTGTGGATTTCATGAAATGTTTCTCGATTTTTCACAAGTCAGGGTAACCAAGTATTTGTTGGTGTTGATTGGCATTGTCAGGTCACCGTATTGAGGAAGTTCCTGAACTTCCTTTGGTGGTTGAAGATAAAGTTGAAGGATACAAGAAGACCAAGGAGGCTGTTTTGCTTCTTAAGAAACTTAAAGCCTGGAATGATATCAAAAAGGTAGGCTTAATGAACAAATTTTGGTGGTCCTTAACACAGATTTGTCGTCAGATTTTTAAACTTAAAAAAGATGTCTGGAGGACAGTGTAACTCAGTGCATAGGAGAACAAGGACTCAAACCTTATAACGGGTTTGACTCCTGACTGCCATTTGCCGCTGTGTGTGAATGTGGGGCAATTTATTGTGGCTCCTTTTCATCATCTGTAAAGTGGAGTTTAACTTTGAAGATCAGTCGCAGGGTTCATATCTTAAGATACTAAATGTTCTCTTTTTAGGTCTATGCTTCTCAGCGAATGAGAGCTGGCAAGGGCAAAATGAGAAACCGCCGTCGTATCCAGCGCAGGGGACCCTGCATCATCTACAATGAAGACAATGGTATCATCAAGGCCTTCAGAAACATTCCTGGTAATTGTATTGCTTATTTCAATGCCCATATGATCCAAGCTTACTTGGCTTTTATATGATGAAATTCCACTTTATGGTCCATGTTTCTGAAACACATGATTTTGTGGAACTTCTGATTCTCAGCTGAATGAGTACACCAGTAATGGTTGAAACTGCCTAATTAGTAACATAGTTCTCATGTACCTTATGTAGCCATAAGTCATAAACGTGATTTGTGTGTCTTTTATTTAAAAAACGGTCTCCCTAATTCTCTTTTCCCTTCAAAAGGAATTACTTTACTTAATGTAAGCAAACTGAACATTTTGAAACTTGCTCCTGGTGGGCATGTGGGACGTTTCTGCATTTGGACTGAAAGTGCTTTCCGCAAGTTAGACGATCTGTATGGCACTTGGCGTAAGGCTGCCTCCCTCAAGAGTAACTACAAGTGAGTGTTCTTTGTGTTCATATATTGAACACAGATGTTCATGCTGTGGATATTCACATTCAGAATTCGTTTGCATGTTTTCTAAATAATGGATGATGATGTGTGGCTATTTTCCCTTATGTACAGATTCAGTATTGTATAATGGTGAGATATTCTGAATGGTGGTAGTGTAATGGAAATTCTGATGGAACTCTGGAGGGTTTCAGTGTTTACTGAGAAATAGGAATTGAGCATCTTACTGTTCAACATTTTTTTCTTTTCAGCCTTCCCATGCATAAGATGCTTAATACAGACCTTAGCAGAATCTTGAAAAGTCCAGAGATCCAAAGAGCCCTCCGAGCACCACGGTAAAGTTGTGATATTGCTCTTGCTAAAGCCTCATAGTATTGGTTATTTCAAAAATGTGGATAATGTGAATAAAATACTAACGGTACTACCTTTTTACAGCAAGAAGATTCATCGCAGAGTCCTGAAGAAGAATCCACTGAAGAACCTGAGAATCATGTTGAAGCTAAACCCATATGCAAAGACCATGCGCCGGAATACCATTCTTCGCCAGGCCAAGAATGTGAGTGTTAATTTGGTTTTTGATGATAGGTCAACTTTTTTTTTTTTTTAGAAAGATAGGATTCTTAAGTTGTTCTCTTAATTTGTTGCAGCACAAACTCCGAATGGATAAGGCAGCAGCAGCCTTAGAAGCCAAATCAGATGAGAAGGGGGTTCCAGGCAAGAAGCCTGTGGTTGGGAAGAAAGGAAAGAAGGCTGTTGGTGTGAAGAAGCAGAAGAAACCTGTGGTGGGGAAAAAGGCTGCAGCTACCAAGAAACCAGCAGCTGACAAGAAGCCTGCAGAAAAGAAACCCACTGCAGAGAAGCCTACTGCCTAAAAATTTAGATTAATTCTATAAAAGTCAAATCATTTTGGACAGCTAATTTTGAATAAAGACCTGATCAAAAGCCAGTGAAAAACACGACTTTTTGGATGTGTTTGTGAATCTTGGTTAGAGTTTTGTTGTTTGCTCCCCCATAATTCTGGCCTCTTGGTTCCATTTTATACTCTGGTGTAAAACAGGGCCTTGCCTTCATAGTAAATCACGCAGTTGAATGGGAAGAAGAATGCTGCATAAATCCAGATATAAAATCCAATTTGTAGGAACTGTTTTTGAAAAGTGGTTAAGACTTCTCAAATGTGCAGAAGCTGTTAGAAGATTTAGCACTCCTCGGGGTACCTGGGTGCCTCAATCCGTTGAGCATCCACTTTTGGTTTTGGGTCAAGAGCTCATGCATGCATGGGTCATGGGATCAAGCCCCGTGTTGGTCTCCCAAGTTAAGTGGGGAGTCCGCTTGGGATTCTCTCCCTCTTACCTCAACATGCTCAGTCACAGGCTCATTCAAATCTTTTTTAAAAAGAATTCTCCCCCAAAACAAAAAACACGCCTTGGAAAATAGGTAAAATTACATGAGGTTTTTTATTCTCAGTACCACAAGAGGGCAGAATAGATTGAGGCTCTGCAAAAAGAAACTGATGGTTCCTCCACGAAGGTTATTACAACCTGCTGTGATAAAAGAGTACAGTTATTAGGGGAAATGCTACCCTCAGTATTTTGACCCACAGTATGAGTTTCAGAACTACCTGGGTTTGCGGTTTTGGTAAAGGAATACGTTGACCAAGTATACCGCAGAGAAGTGTACCCAAAAGGATATTGGGGATTTTTTCCCTACCCTGTTTTGTCAGCATGTCTTACCACCTTAACAGTTGACCTGTCCTGACCTGTCTCTTGTCAGGGTCTTGTTTTGCATCTGGTTTGTTTCCTTTAAGTACACATCCAGGTGATGTATCCTCTGGTTTGCAGATACAGAAGATCTCTGTTCCTTAGCATTTAAAGGCTCCACATCCCTTTTGAATTTGTTAGCACCAATTTAATCTTCCTGCTCTTAATTTGCGCAGCCTCTTGGTAACCACTTTCACGTGGCCAGGAATCTTTGCCTGCAAAAATCAACAGGGCTCGTGCGCCTCTGTGCTAGATGCTCGTGGTTTTGGTCTCTGCTCTCAGATGCGTCTGCAGGTTTTATGGCGTTTAAAACAACTTTAAGTTGCAAAAAACTAAAGTTCGATGCTGGGAGTACTGCTCAAAAGCGTTTGAAACTGGGTACTTGACCGTTTTTATCTCCCGAGTTCTTTATGGCTCCACGTCCTGTGCTTTAGGATTCCTGATGATTACGTAGGTTTTTTGGTTAAAAACCGGGGTTGTGCGGGACAGAGCAGGTCGAACGTGAAGCAGCTAGCGAGAGTGCGGACGTCGGCCGGAAGCGCTTTGACCCACGTGGCGCTAGCCCCGCCCAGCCCGCGGCTTGGTTTCCGGGAACGCGGGCTTAGTGACGTCATTACCGAGCGCTGGGCCGGACGGCGGGCCGGCGGAGGCGCCATGCTGAGCCGGCTTCAGGAGCTGCGCAAGGAGGAGGAGACACTTCTCCGGTTGAAGGCGGCCCTGCACGACCAGCTGAACCGGCTCAAGGTGACCCTGCGTGCACCCCGCACCCCCCCACCCCTCCAGCCCCTCTACTCCGCCGCCCTGCGAACCCTAGGCGTCGGCGGCGTCCACCTGGTGGTTGAGAAGCCCCTGGGAGCGCGTTTGATATTGCGGGCCCACTTCTCTGAGAATCTTGATCCTGCAGGCCTAGGCTGAGGTCCAGCGATCTGTATGTGTGGCAAGGCTACCGCCACACCGCCAACACCCGTAAATGCAGGTGCTCCGCACATCTTGCGCTGAGCAAGTGCGACCTCCCTAAGCCCGGACCAGGCTCTCCCTGTCCCGGACCCCCTCCTCCCCAGCTCCTTCAGTATGTGCTAGCCACCATTTACTAGCTGCTTTTGGCGCTTGAAACAGCTCCAGTATTGTTAAGCCAGAAGAGACGCGTAGATCCGTTGTGCAAAGAAAGCAAGCCAGGGCCTGAGGAAAGAGGTGTCGCAGAGTTCCCAGTAGCTTTAATTCTGGCAGCTGCTACGGACTCCATGGCCTGGACGAGATTTGGTGCACCTGGGCCATTTCCCACACCTGGGCCTAATCCACCCTCTTTAGCCCCAGTGAGATGATCCTGATAAGAACTCTTCTTCAGGATCTTTAAGCCCAAATGAGATGCGGGTTTTGAAGGCCTTTTGTAAGCTAAAAGCACTGTACAGCTATGACATATCAAAGTAATATTATTTTCCTCAGGACAGTTGTAATGGCCGGCAGTTATTTATGTGTTTGTACCACTAGTACCTGTACAAGTACCCAGCGGGTGTGTAGTGTATGCTGGTGACCAGGACCTCTAAAGCCTCTGTTCCCTTATGCTCCGGGAAACACTTCCACTTTCCGTTCTTCCTGCCTTCACTTTCTTATTACTGGGTAGAAATCTAGAGTCTAGGGAATCGGCCTTCTGTGGAATCAGAAGACACCTGGCTTTTTTAAGGGCACACTTGGCTTTTCTATCCAAATCTGCTGTATCTAGGGGAATGAAAGTCTTGGCTCAGCTGAGACACCTGTACACCCAGGGGAAAGGCCTGGAGGTTTTCTTGGCTCTTTTCCTTAAAAATGTGGGGAAAGATTAAGAGCCCCACCCTTCCCTCTAGAGCTGCACAGAGGTGACACTGTTTTCACGTCTCCTCATGATGCTTGCCTTTGACAGCATGCTCAGCAGATTTTACCCATGTCAGTAGCCCAGTGAAATAGTAAGCAGAGTGTCCTCACCTCTTCTTTTCTAGGTCGAAGAACTAGCCCTCCAATCAATGATTAGTTCTAGGAGAGGGGATGAGATACTATCTTCTAAACCTGCACCTGAACAGTCACATGATGTAAGTTGAATCAAGTGTGGGCCTAGGGAGAGAATGCAAGGTGCATTCTGCTCTTGTGCTGCTTGGAGGACAAAAATTTTTGTAAATTATCAAGCCCAGAGGACTCAGGGAATTGCTTGTGAGAGCTTTCTAGTTTAATGAACTGGTTATTTCATATCACTCTTTTAGACAGGAAACAGCCCACCTTTCTACCAGCTGGTCACACTTTGATTAATGAGGTACCGTTGTATTGCCCACACCATCCTAGTCATCTGACCTTTCTAGTTACTCCAGTGAACCCAGGGAGAGTCGGAGAGCTTTGCAGGCATTTGTCAAAAACTTCCACTGCCTCATGAATAAGTAAGCCTGGGATTTAAGAAAGAGTGTAGCTTTAGCTACAAAGCATAGTGCGAACAAGTGAATTCCAGTCCTCAACATCTCCTCCTGCTAATGTCCGCGAGTAAAATGGTACAATATTCTTCTTTCTAAATATACCATATTTGAGCACTTTTTCTCCCAGATGTGTTTAAGCCATCTAAAACCATTTGAAAGTAGCACATCTAGGCCAGCATAATTCTTCGGCATGAACCATGTTTGTAGATCAGGTAACATTCTGTCAAATCTAGGGCATTTACTCTCCTCCCATTTTGGCAATGGGGAGGTGGGGGTAAGAGGGTCAGGGGAGAAATGGGAAGTGGCCTTACCTCCTGATGATAAAATACTGGGCATGAGGATGCAATTGAGATTTGATTTTAAAACCTATTTAAGAATTTGCTGCTTTGAGGCCAGCATCTTTCCTACTAATCCATAATGTCCTTGCCTAAAGCAGATGTTGGTGCATGTAGACAATGAAGCATCAATCAACCAGACTGCACTGGAGTTGAGCACAAGGAGCCATGTGCCCGAAGAGGAGGAGGAGGAGGAGGAGGAAGAATCAGATTCCTGAAGCAGGGTAGGGAAGAGCCAAGCTTAGAGGAATTAAGTTTCTACATCTCAGGAACTTTTGTTTCTTCAAAAAAAATTGTCTTTCCATAGGCCCTCTTGGCCTGCTTTACAAGGAAGAACTTTAGGATGTGTAGTTGTGAAAATGGTTCCATCAAGAACTCAAGTTTCAGAACGCTTTAACAAAAATTAGTGACATACGGAAAAGCAGAGCTGCAGTGTCTTAGCATTGAGCAATATGGGTGGTGCTGTGACTGTATTAGTAATTATGCTCAAAACAAAATTTCCTCTAAAATGCTATTGAGAAAGTCTGGCATTTGCACAAAGGGCAGAGTTTAAATACAAGTCAGCCTTTCCAGTCAACATTGCCTCTTAAGAAAACCAATTAAAGGCTGTCTGCATGCCATTGAGCCATTGTGAGCAGAGCAAGGCCACAGTTTAGGAGAGAAAGATGACAAGTGAGGAGCACAGAGGGCCACTAGAGAACACAAGCTGCCGCCACCTCTCGGTGGAGCAGGTAGGAATACTGCGCTGCGGAGGGCTTTGTAGGGCTGCCATCATAGGTAGGTTGAGATATCACAGTGTTTAGTAAAATGTGCTTAGAAACAAAGTACAGATAAAGAGCTGTCATGCAGCTTCCTGGTTTCCAGATAGTAACAGAGAAAAGGATTAGTTCCTCCCCTGGGGCAAAAAATACAGCAGGATGGTTTAAAACCCATTGCTGGACTTAGAGAGGAAATGTGCTGTTAAATCACTATGCCTGGGAGATTGGGGTTTTGTAATAATGACAGTTACAGAATAACAGTTATTAAAACTTAGTACTTGTAGTTGAGATTCACTTATGCATACTATCCCTCTTCCAGTGAATATACAGTTAAGTAGTTGCTTAATTTTATAAAATTTGCCCTGCCCAAGCAACAGAAAAGCCAAACAACACAAAGAATCTCCTCAAGCAAAACTTCTTTTGTAACTGTTCCAGAAAAGAACATGAGTATATTTATTAATCAACATTTCATTAAAGTTATTTTGAGCTACTCTTAAAGGAAATAGAAGTTTAAATGAGCATGTTTCTTGGAAAACACCGTGTGAAAACTTTTGCAATGAAAAGCAATCAAGCTATTTTATTTAAAATAGGAACAGGGGTTTTTGAGAGCTAGAAAAGTTGGCTGTGAATTCTGGCTCTACTGCTGACTGGCTGCTTGCCTTCTTAACTCTTGGCAGCTCTCAAGAGTCCTGCGGTCAAAGGTCTGCCTACCTGAGCCAGCACTTTCACAGGTGGTTGTGGTGTGCTAACGAGGTATCATGCGAAAACACAGCTATTGGTGTCTCAGCAAGAGGGAGTCTAAGGAAGGGATTTGACATAGGGACCTCAAAACAGCAAGACTGAGGCAGGTAACCTTATTCTTGGTAAAAATTACCAGGAAAAAAACCTTTTTGACTCTAAAAATGTAACACACTTTTGTATGTAAATAGAGAATGTAGAACATCCCTCAAAAGACACTAAACATGAAAGCATTCAAATCCAGTTATTAGACTCTAGGTGACACCTTCCTCCCTAGGTGCAGTTTGCACATTTTAACGAGACCTCGGTTTGTATCCTGTCCCTTAGCAAAAGACACAGGGTGCGAGTCTTAAACCCTGGTCTGAATGGATGTTGTTTAGGTTAGACTGTTGGCTTAGAACCGACGTTGGCCTCACAGCAAGGGAAAACGGACTGGCTGAGGCAGCCGTATATATACCAGTGAGCAGTTTTTAAAACCCTGCCTGGATTCCAAGCTTTGGTAGGCTCAGAATGGAACTGCCAACTCAGGAGCTTTACCCAGGTCCTGCTTTTAGTTTGAAAACAAAACAGGCCTTATCTTTTTAAAGACATGTTTATTTTGGTTTTCTCTAAGCTGCCTCTCGAAGAAAATGATGGAAGAGGTGCCACCCAGGCAGCATCACGTGTCCCTCAAGTTCCGAAAGTCACTTGGGCAGAAAAGGCATCTGTGGTCAGTTGGGACATGGCTTTGTTTCCTGTGACTTCAGTGCTACCTCACAGGCAGGACAAAGCCAGCACCAGGTCCATTCCTCTCCAGGAAAGTGGAAAAAAGTCACTGGTGAAAGCAGGGAGACAGTTGCTCCAGCATGGGACTGGATGTCCTGGGCGGAGGCTCCCACACCAGTCAGGCTGGCCAAGAGTGGAGTGTTCCTGGGAGCACACCAGTGACACCCCAACCCCACCTTGCCTACTGCTTTTCCCTGTGTAGAAATGGCAGGAAGAGAGGGGATCTAGTCACAGGGCCACAGGAAAGGTAGCTGGAAGATTCACACATAAGTGGAGAAAAGTGTTGGACAAAGTCCAAAACTTGGGAGTCACGGATCCGTTAAAGCCCAGAGCACCGAACTTGGCTTCACTATGGCATTTCTGCTTTCCAGCCTCCTTCCCGTCTCCACCTGTGCCCTCACAAGAAGGCTTGGCTAAGTCATTGGACTTTATTGTGTATGTGTACCAGAGACACTGAAAATCCTACCCCAAAAGGAGACATATTTTTCCATCCTTTTAACTTGACAGTATATTTATTAGAATAAGAGATTAGATTTGTTAAACATCTGGATTGAAATGGTTAAAAGGATTTTCATACAATTTTTAGGCACTATACACACTTGTTTACAATAGCATCAGTACTTGGATTTGGGGAAAGAGAAATCTCATATTTTAATGCCTTGATCCATTTGTAACATTCAAAGTAACCACCATTTTAGAAACACTAATTCAAACTTGAGACATAAACCACTAAATATCCCACATAATATATTTAAAAATAAATATAGAAATACAGCCAGAAGTCTACAAATCATCACAGTAGACAGACTGGTGAAGCCCCAGCTATCATGGCAGTGAAGGGCTCTGGCTAGATAGAGATTGCTTCATTCTACACCAAAAGCAAAAATATAATAAAATGATACATACTTTCTGATGTTCTTTATCATAGCAGCAAAGCATGCTTCACATGCACTGCCTGTGAAGGATCTTACAAGGCCCCTTCCTGCTCAAACAGAAGGTATGCCTGGCAAGAATGCAGTACCACCAAGTGTCAGAGAATCCCGAAAATACAGGCAGCTAGCCAGTCACGGTGAGGGAAGAGCAGTGCAATTTTCAGTAAGAATGACTACCCACGGTCACCAAAGTTTCACTGTAATTCAACGTTGTGCGTGTGCTGATCGACATACACAAAAATAGCCCCAAGCACAAAGCCAATCCACTTAGGGAGAGAACAGGAAGAATAGAGACAGTAATATTAAAAATGACACAAGTAGAATTTTGGCACATGCTGTGTTCTTCATCCTTTGTCATAGGTGAGATGCACGTCTGAACAGACAGGCGTGGGCAAGAGGCCCGGAAGCGACATGGCACACCACTGGGCAGGGGACTCACTCTTCGCTGCTTCCCACGTCCTTAGACACCGGCTGCGTGGGTCGGTGTGCTGGGCTGGTTAAGGCCAATGGTGGAGCAGAGCCAACCTGCAAAATCCACTTCCTCCCCGTCCGATCTCTTGATAAAGGCATGAACCTATGTGCAAGGAAGCAGAGTAAGTGGTGGTCAAAAACCCAAAGGAAAGGTTGAGAGTCCTGGGTCTAGAGCTTCTCTTGGAAGGAGCTCCCAGAGCCTGTCCTGGGCCAGCAGCTGCCGCAAGAGCCTGCGCTGCTCGTCTCATAGGCTGTGAGGCCACAGCCCCCATGCACCACCCAGAGCCTGCGCTCCTCCCCTGGGGCCTGGGCACAGGAGCTCTGCCCTCCCCTCGGCCCTTACACTGCCCGGCGGAGACGGGGGGCCGCTGTTCGGGATCCTACAGCCCCTGGGGCGGCGGGAGCACAGCGGCCGAGGCGGAGCAGGGAATGGGCTCGGAGTACCTGGGCAGGTAGACTGAGGGAGGACAAATGAATAAACAGGACGTGTACAAATTGGAAATCAGTGGACTTACCATGAGTTGCTTCAGATCTGCTCTCTCTGCTGGGTTTTTTATTAAGCTGAAAGAAAAAGATAAGGTGAGAGAGCTTGCCTGGCGCTGGTTTCCCCTCAAATTGCTTGCACTTATGTGCCTGCCCCCCCCCCCCCCCCCCGTTCTGAGGAGTGCCTGAGCCTTCTCCGCCTTCTGTTCTGGCAGAGCGGCACGCCCACAGGTTAACAAATGCCTGCGGAATTAAACGAAGACCAAAAGGCACCATGCCAGGCCCTGCAGAGCAGGTGCCGAAAGCTGCAGCTTCATCCACTGCCGTCGTCTGACCAGTCCCCGAAGTCGTGGCACTCTGGAAGTGCAGGGGAAAGGGCAGAGCTCTGCTCCCCAAGACTGGGCGGAGAGGCTGACAAAAGCAGCGTACTCTTGCAGAGGGCAAGGAGGGGACTTACCACTTATTCACAAAATCTTGAAATTCCAGACTGAATACTCCACTGGGCAGTTTTGGAGGAGGCTGCAAATACATGTCAAGACCTAAGAAAGGCGTGGCTTCCTTCTCCACCCATATTCCCCACAAACACCCCCCCCCTCAGACCTTGGCGCGGTGCTGCCCTTACACAGCCACGGGGAGGCAGGCCTGGGAGGCCAGGTGGGACCTCTGGTCTCACGACGCACACTTAGAACTACGGCCCAGGTTGTGTTCTGCCACTCTCTTGTCTAGTGACTAAACAAACCACTGTTTCTCGGTGAATCTTAGTTTATTGTTCTCTGAGCTGCGGAGGGCCTCATGACACTCCCAACTGTAAACCTTGCGGTGTGGCGTGGACACATACCCAGCAATTACTAGCGGCCGCAGCTAGGGGGCTATGCAGACCCCCACCTGTGCACGTCACAGAAGCTACCTAAATAGTAATAAAATGTATAGCCCTTTTCTGACACCTGAAGAAGTGGAGCAAGGTTAATAATAAAACAGTGGCTGACAGAAGACTGAGTCTGGAAGGAATGTTCCCTGCACCCTCACTCAAGGAATGCGGCCGTGCGCAGGCATTGGTGCAAGGACACGGGCACCAGCTCTGTTTTCCCAGGGTATGCAGTGGAGGTCATGCAGGGTCACACGGGACAGGGCGCTGGGGCACCTGGCTCATGCGCTCCACCCCCGCGCAACCTGTGCTGGGTCTGAGTGCAGCTTCCTCGTGAGCACACTCCCAGACTGTGCCCGGGATGGCACTGCCTTGATGTGCAACCCAGACCAACAGGCGATCTGAGACTGAAAATTAAGACACTGACACCACCTAAAAGCCCTGCCTCACCCTCTCGCCTGGAAGGCCTTACCAGAACAGCAGGTCAGTGAGCCTGATCTGAGTCAGGAACTAAAACCCAGCTCTCAGGGCACCCTGCAGACTGTTGCTGCTGCTGAGAGGGAAAAGGAACGCTCAAGGGAGAGACAGACAGCTTGGCTTCCCGAGGCCAGGCTAGTCCTGAGCAGGATGGGGGGCAAAGCCAGGGCTGTGAGGCACCCACACCTGCTGCCATACAGCCCAGTGGCCTGGAAGGTGTGGTTGGTAAAGGAAGAGCACTGGGTGGGAAGCACCTGAGCTTTTCTTCCTGGTGCCTGAGCTTCCTCACCTGTACGAAGAGGATAATGAAGCCAGCTGGCCCCCCAGAGGCAAGCAGGGCAGGAGACTGGCAGCGGCTTATTTAGCCCAGGCCATCTCCTGTCTTAATGTGGCCCCCCCAGCTCAGGTCCCAGCAGTAGAGGGTGGCCTTCTTCACCACCACAGATGCAAGCCATTCTGCCTCGTTGAGTCCTTAAACAGCTGAGATCACATCCTTCTGTTGCATGTCCCATGGTGCTTAGCATTAAGCTGGACAGTAAGGAGAGGTCAATTAACCTCCCTGGCCAGTGATGCTGGGGTGAAACAGGATTTTCCCTGTTGAGTTTGTAAGGGACAAGGGGACCCTTTTGAGGTCTGGTTTTAGAGCACAGTACGAAGTATGAAAAGTCATTCCTCTTGTCTCTTAAAGAGCACAGGGCTATGCCTTTTACTGTGTACCCCAGCGGCCTCCCCAGCCTCACAGAGCTGGTTCTCACGCACTACCCAGGCTGCCCCTGAGCCGGGCGTGCTGGCCCTGCCACCTAACATCCCGTCCCGAAGCCCTGCTCCTCTAGCCCTGCCCCACCCTCTGCACCACCGCTTCCCGCCCCCTCTAACCGGGGTTGGAGGACTGCTGGTCGGTCTCTTGCGTCCTCGATCCTCTTTTAATTTAAACACAAATAATGTGTGTTCTTTGCGTTAAAGTCAGCCAGCAGCAATAAGCCAAAAGAAACTTCCATCACCCCGAATCAGTTTCATACTACTTTCCAGACTTTATATGCACATACATGCATAGAATTTTTTTCATAGTTTTTAAAGACTTGATCACCGTATACATAGTACTTTGTAGTGTTTTTCACACAATCTACAGTGAATACTTTCCATACTATTTCTACACTGTCATTTTTTTTACATCTACTGGTTTTTAATGGCACTTACCAGAGAAGACCCTATCCTACAGGTATGTATGTGTGTGTCCTGCCTCCCATATGAAGCTAACAGTCTTCACGACTAGGGACTTCTGTTTTTCCATCTGTGGACTGCACCTCATCCCTACCATCACCCTGCAGTGTGCATGCAGCCCACAGTAAGCACCCAAGAAATGCCTGGTGAATGAAGCAGTAAGAATGGAATGGGCACACTCGAGGCTCCCGACAATGAGAAAGGGAGAGAAACTCAGAGCTACCCAAAGATGTTCGCTGGGGAAGGGACACCTGTAACCTCTAAACCAGCCACTCCATTCCAAGAGCATGCCATACAAGAATCCCCTTGGGGCCCAAAAAGCCTCACTGTGCAAACAAAACTGTTCTCTTAATAGAAGCAAATACCAAAGTCAAAGAAGCCATGCAGTACTTACCTCGTTGACTATGTAATCCAACAACTCAAAAATTGCCATGGGAGGTCGGCTGTCCATTCCATAAGCTACAGATTTTATAACAAGAAAAAAGAAAACACTTCTCAAAAAAACAGGAAGTTATTTGCCACTGTGAGGCTAGGGATTGGAGTAAGGGTCCTGGGGACCAGAACAGGGTCGTAGATGATAAGCAGAGACACAAGAGCCACAGATAAGGCTGAACACAGAGGGGTCCAGCAAAGGCCACACAGTTGGCCAGCCAGGGTAGGAGGCTGGGCTCTACCACCTCCAAGGTTTGCGACCTCAGGCAAATCCACTGACTGCTAAGCTTAGTACTGAATTTGCTACAGTGGAGATGGATAATCATCATGTCTGCCCTTCTTCCCTTCCTTACATTGAGACAGGAGTAAATAAGGTAATAACTAAGTAACTCAAGGACTCAGTTTTAATTCTCCCTGAACTTGGGTTTCTTCTTTTATCCTCCAGAGTCCCAGGGCAGCCTCAGGGGCCACGGCCGCAGCCCCTCCAGTGACCCACCACCATCAGCTACCCCTGCCCTCCTCTTGTTTCTCCCTTCATACATTCCCTCTCTCCTGAGAGCCTCCCAGGGGCAGACACCAGGTCCTCATGGTCACACAAGCCCCAGCAGGAAGTACATCAGAAGACGGTGGCTGGGCCTGGATCTTCCAAGCACCAGGTTTACTTCTCAGTATGCGTGATCCGAAAGGCAGGCCATGCTGCGCAGCGCTCAGCACCTAGGCCTCAGACTTGGCCATTTACGGTGTGCAGTCTTGACAAGTCAGGCACTTTGTGCCTCAGTCTCCTCATATCTAAATAGAGATTATTATAATAGTGCTCACAAACAATCGCTATTAAAATTAGATAATACTTGGCAGATCCATGGAGACACAAAGTAGATTAGCGGTTGCCAGGGGGTGGGAGGAGATGGGAGTGATTGCTCATGGAGGTGAGGTTTCTGTTAGGGTGATGGACATGTTCTGGAAGTACACGGTGGTGATGGTCGCACAACACATAAGAATATACTAAAATCCACTGAAATGTACACTTTAAAATGTGCATCTTATGTTGTGTAAATTTTATCTCAAAAAAAAATCTACCTAAAAGATGTCATGATTTTTTAAAATTCAGATAGTGCATATAAAGTACTAAATGCTGTGTCAGGAACAGAGCCAGCACTCTGAACAAAGGGTGAGAAGATGTTGGTAGTAACAGTAAGGTTAACACCCGCCCGGAGACCCTTGCTCTGCTTCCCGCCCTGGCCCCAGCCTGGCATCCAGAGACAGGCAGTCAGTCTTGGGAGAATGTTCAGAGAATCAGCCCTCCAGAAACCCAAAAAAGAGTAAGGTCCCCACCCCCCTGCTCCCAGTCCAAGCGGGGGCCACACCAGGCCACTCACAGCTGAGGGGCCTTCCAGGGGTCCTTGGTCTGGGTGGCGTCTCAGCCGCATCTCCCTCCACTTGGCACCCAAACATCAGCTCCAGCTCCTTGGCATCTGGAGGAGGGATGGGATACCTCCCAACCGCCATCTCAACCAGAGAGAGCCCCATGCTCCAGATGTCCGACTGCACCGAGTAATGAGTCCCCTGGAGTCTTTCTGGCTGCAGGAGACACAGACAGTTCTGATCACCTGTGAGCTAATCCAGGCCCATTCAGCAGAGGGAGAGGCCCATCCCCATGGAGGCTCAAAGGGAGGCCTCAAGAATCCCTGCCCCTTTGAGGCTTGTTTGCACTGCAGGGAGTGGGCTGCCCTGCTTGGTCTTGGCCCTGGCCCTGGAGCTGCTGATGGATTTTACCTTCTTTAGGACCTCCACTAACTGCTTTAATTTGGTTTCTGACCTGTCTCCAACTACTGTGTTCACCAAATCCTGGATGACTCCTGGGGCTCTGACCCACGCCTCCTCACTGCCCTCAACTAACAGCCTCCGGCCCACCTGACCCCAGCTGCCGCTTCAGCTGGGGCTCCAGCTTCACACCCCCAGCTTTGCCCAGCCTCATCACTGCCTTGCACGTGCGGAGTAGCTGGTTCAAAGCCCAGCCTGCGAGG